TTGGCCACTTCATCATGCTCTCTATTTTGGCTGGATCGGCTTGAACCCCTTCTTTTGAAATCAGATGCCCCAAGTATTCAATCTTGGACTGAACAAAGCTGCACTTCTTTAAGTTTACCACGAGCTGATTTTCTTTCAGGACGGAAAATACTGTCCTCAGATGCTTCAAGTGAGCGGTTACATCACTGCTGTATATAAGAATATCATCAAAAAAAACCAGCACAAACTTGCGCAAATATTCCCTGAATACCTCATTCATCAAGGACTGGAAGGTTGAGGGAGCATTGGTTAATCCAAATGGCATCACCTTAAACTCATAATGTCCCTCATGTGTCCTGAATGCTGTTTTGTGTTCATCCCCTGCTTTGATTCGGATTTGATGGTACCCGGACTTTAAATCCAGCTTTGAAAACACTATGGCTCCCTTCAATTCGTCAAGTAGCTCATCAATAGCGGGAATGGGAAATTTATCAGGAACTGTAATTTTGTTTAATGCCCTGTAGTCAACACAAAACCTCCAACTTCCATCTTTTTTCTTCACTAGCAATATCGGGCTTGAGTAAGGACTGTTGCTAGGCCATATAATTCTAGATTTCAACATGTCTTTCACCATGTTCTCTATTTCATTTTTTTGTAAGTAGGGGTATCGGTAAGGCCTGATATTTGGTGGTTGCTCCCCCGGTTTTATTATAATAGCATGATCCTTGGAGCGGGATGGAGGAAGCCCCTCAATAGCTTGGCAAACCATTGGAAAATTTTCCAATAATGTTTGAATTTCCGGGTTCAGAATTTCTGTACTTTCACCATTACTGGTCAGGCCATTGTATTCAATCAAGAATCCCTCCCCTTTCTTCCCTACTGAGCGCATTAAGGATTTGAAGGTGGCTTGTGCTCTGGTGAGAGTTGGGTCCCCTTGTAGACAAACTTGCTTTCCTTTTTCACCAATCCTCATCGTTAGTCGGCTCCAGTTCACTCTCACATCACCCAGTGATTTCAACCATTCCATTCCCAATACAGCATCAACACCACTTAGGGGGAATGGGTAAAAAGTCTGAATGATATTAAGCCCTTGTACCTTCATACAGAGATCCTTGCAACGCTTTCTCCCTTTCAAGGTAAAGCCGTCGCCTACTGTAATTTTATACTCAGAAATTTCATCAGTGAGTAGTTTCAACCTGCTCTGCAAATCCTCAGCAATGAAATTATGAGTGGCCCCGCTGTCAATGAGTATGATCACTTCAGTGCCCTCAATGGTCCCTTTGACCTTCATGGTATGGTTGTCGCTGAATCCCGCCATGGAGTTTAAAGACAACTCCATCTGCGTCTCTTTTTCAGAATTCTCATTACCTTCGACTTCAAGTTCAGGTTCAGGTTCTACTTCTTCCTCCTCAAGTGTTCGGTCCGTTCCCTTCTCCATGATCAGAACTTGGAGATTTTTGTTCTTACACTGATGAGTGGGATTATATTTATCACCGCACTTGAAACACAACCCTAGCTCTCTCCTTCTTGCGATTTCAGCATCAGATAGGCGCCGAGAATTGCTTCCTTTCCTCACTGCAGAACTCCAGTTCGATGTACTCCCAGCCTTCGAATGCTCTGTTTTTGCGTCAGTCCGCCTCGTGTTTTCTGTGAAGGAAGACGCTGGTGTTGTCGCGTGCTTGCTGCCTTCTATCACATGGGCTACACGTGCAGAATACACTGGTTGGGCCGAATCGGATCTTGGCCCATAATGGGTGCGTTGGGCTCGGGTTGCCTCAGACTCCTTACTTTCAGCCAGCATTTGATTTCTCTCGTCAATACACACGGCCACCTCCATCAGGTCTCTCAATGTGGTAGTTTTGGCGAGTTTCAGCTCCGCCCTAATTTCATCTTTAAGCCCAGAACGAAAAGCTCCAATTAAGCATTCTTCTGAAGCTTCCCTTAATGGCGCTGACAATAACTCGAATTCTTCTACAAACTCAAGCACAGATTTCTCTTGTTTAGCTGTGAATAACCTCTCGTACTCACCTCCAGGTTGGGAGGAATGAAACCGTCGCAACAACTCTCTTTTGAACTCAGGCCAGTTGCTCAGTGGAGTCCTTGTATCGAGCCATTGGTACCAGTTTAAAGCTTTACCTTCAAGACATACCGCGGCTGCCTCCAGTTTTTGCTGTTCTGTTACAGAATTCACGTGAAAATAGCGTTCGACTCTGAAAAGCCATCCAATGGGGTCCTCACCAGAGAAAACAGGTAGCTCTAATTTTCGATACTTGCCACCTTCAGTATCTCCCCCTGGGTTCGTCGCAGAAGCCTCCTCATGATGATTTCCTTCTTGTTCTTCCACACGTGGCCCTGGTATCCTCTTTTCTATCTGCCCCAGTGTTTCGGTAATTGCCTTCAATGTATCTTTGATGTCACCTACATCCTTAGTTAATACCCCAACTGTCTCCTTCAACTCCTGTACTTCTTGGTCAGCATATTGTACTCTCTCGGCCATAACTTCTCTCTCAATTTACCCAGAAATCTCACCGCTCTGATACCAAATAATGTGACCCAAACAATAAAACAACAGAAACACTAAATTAAGACAATAACAGCACTAAATATGAGAGGAAAATGCTGAGTTTTTTTATAATAATGAGCTGAATGGACCGAATCAGAGTTACAAGGACACTCTCTGATTCTGGCAAAAAACTCTATTTCCTCTATAAATCAAGATAACTCCAGCCACTAGATTTCAAGCTTCAAAATACAAGTTCCCTACCACTGGCATTCGAGAGGCCAATCTCTCCTCACCACTCTCTCTCTCCCCCCACTCTCCAAGCCAAAGACTACTAATACCCTCAGTATGGCTTACACACGGCCCATACTACCCAAAAGATTATAATCATGACAAAAGATTACAAATCACTGTTCCTTACGGCTAGGGACTGACGGATAAGTCCCTGGACCAGTTAAAGTATTTCCACTAGAGTTATTCCTCCCCTTTGACTTCCTCTGATATGTCTTATGAAAATAATGGGCTCTATCAGGAACTCACTCCAACATCATTAAAGAAGTAGAGTCCCTCACATTTTGTAGCACATTCAATCATCTTCCTTAATGATAGATACTGAAAGACACAAGGTTGAAAGAAAATTAGCACAACACTTAGAGTACTTGGTTAATTGGCTAACAGAGAATAGGTTGCATGCTAATTTTGGTACATGAAGATCCAAAGTGATAGATTTAGATCTTCGAATACTCCCTTTCCTGGCAATAGGAGCAAGAGATCCATCAGCAATTTTAACTTAGGTTCCCAGCACATGGAACGTAGGTACAAAATAATTGATGGCAATCGGTCATATGATTTGACGCTCTAAAATCAACAATCCACAAGGATTTGTTTCGAGACATTTTTAGGGCCTGAAGCAAATTGCCTATTTTAGCGATAAAAACCGAGGATAGTGACTCACATCCCACAATTATAGCAACATGTGATGACTGGAGTACCTTTTGTCTCTTGAAAGGCAAAGAAACATAGGGCCCAAAACTAAGAATTACCAAACACACCGCTCTGGATCCTTCTAACTACACATAACAGAGGCTTATGAGGATCCACAAAGACAACACATATACTGAACGAAGACACCTACAGCAATGAAGTTTGAGAATGATGCTCCATAAGCCTGGGTAACACAGGGATCTCGCCAGAACTAGCTCGTCGTCGCCAAAGGAAGGAGCCTTTGTCCATCCAAATGGTTCATGCATGTCCACACACTGCCTAGCGTTCACTGGCGCAAAAACTTCAGGAGGCACATGTGAGACCCACACGCCACCGCTAGCCTTCGTCTGCCTGGGTTCTGTAGATCGGATGCTGGTGAGTCTCCTTAGGCCGGCGGTGAGAGTCAAGAAACTCTCTAGCATCAATGGCCAGAGACACAATACAAGGGTTTCCATGCAAGACACTACTAGAAACTCTAGACAAAATTTTCAGATCCCAAATGGCTATAATACCATGTGGTATTTTGAGAGGGAAAATATTATTTTCATTGATTCAAAAATGTGTTACAACTAATATATATACACAAAGCTAAGAGACAAAATAATAAATACGAATAACTCCTAATAATCAACAATAATCCCTAATAATCAAGGTAGAATATTTATAATAAATTCAATATCACCACACATAGTTTGATCAATGAATGCTAACATATCAGCATATGAGTTTTCTAGCATGGTCTGATGAAATGAAAGTTAAACTTATATAGGGGTGAGGACAAACTACAAGAAGGGAACGAAGAAAAGATAGAAAGAGTGGTGAGAGGAAAAGGCAATTCTTAGAAAATATGTGACTAAGAATCTAATTCATGCACTTCCTAAAGCCAAGGAGAATCTCCACATCCAAATAGTACTTTTCTTCATACCCTTCACATAATAAAGGTTCACAATATATAATGCATACCAGAATAATAACTAACCCATGCCACGTGGACAATGACTCATCCTATCTGCTAACTTTAATGAATTGACAAATACTACCTTCACACACAATCAACTTCCCTAGAAACCACCCTTTCCCTCCTTGAACCAAAAAACCAAAACTTGTTTCTTCCTAGAATAGGTAAGCAAAGGACATGGCATGCTATCACACTTGCCTTAAGAAGAAAGGACTTTCTTATTGAAAAACTACAAACAAACAAAACTAAAAAGCCAAATTGCTTGGTTAAAAATTAATCAAATAGAAAACTTGACAAGGAAGTAAACAAAATTGGTCAAGAGTAAATGTGTTTGAATTTTCTCAAGCCCCATGAACAGCATGCAACTTCAACAACCCCTGCAACAAAAGCATAACTTAGACAACATATTGATTGTAAATAAAGCAATAGCCTTTTTAAATCATGGTTATCTCCTTGAACGTCATGGATAGAGTTGCATATTTGACAAAATTCAAATAATCAAGATAAATATTAGTGGGTCCATTATTGACTAGGAAAATCGAAAAATTATAAGCACTTATAAACTTAGTCAGTTATTACCTTCTCTTGTGTCCCATTGCTATAGGTCTCCAAGACTCCAAAAGAAAAGTGAGATCACAATGGTTTGAAAGATGTGACGTATCATGTTTTCCTTGCTCTAAAAGACAGCTTTCTTTTAACTTGTGGTACCTTACAATGGTGGAAGAAATAGCCTAGTCATAAAAGCCAACAGAGTTTTCTGTAAGATATATGACTATATGCAATAGAGCTGATTCATGCAAACTAAAATGAAAAACTAAGTTCATCTAACATGCTACAGAAGGATATCTTGAGAATTTCTCAATGGCATTGCTATATTTCTTAGTTTTATATTTTATAAAAACAAGTTGATTAACTTAAATGATAGGTTAGCTATCTTGAGAACGGGCATGCCTAAATTATATTACCATATCCAAGAGTAGCTTGAAGCAACTTAGAACTAGACATGCAAAAGACTTGCAGATTCAAGAAATCAAGGTCCATATGATATTGACAAATCCATGATGCACCCATGTATTATAAAATAAAAGGAAAGTTTTGCATTTCATGTATCAGCATTTACAACACAAGAATTTATACTGAAACCTTTGATAAAACTAAAGAAATGAATGAGTTAAGCCATGGTTTTGCCTTTCCAATAAATTAACCAATTTCATGATATATCTAAGAGACAACAACAACAACAACAACAAGCCTTTATCCCACTAGGTGGGGTCGGCTACATGGATGGCAAGACATATTGCGGAAATAAAAAGTAAAATGAGACTTTTACCTTTGCAGCAAGGAGGAATATATCGTTTGTTTCTGGGAGGGGGAAGAACAAATGATAAATTCATTTAGAACAAGCAAGGCAGAAAACAAATATATTCAGAACAAATATAGATTGGGAAAAAATGTTGATAATGCAATATTTTTACCATTAGCATGTTTGATGAATTTTAGAAGTGCCTCCCTACGTGCTGTATCAGACTTCTCACCAGTACAAATCAAAGAATGACAGGATTTCCAATCAGCCTCTGCACATGATGTGCTACAAGTATTGGCAACATCATCAGAAGCAGTAAATGTATACTTTATGTTGAAATGAATTTTGTGAAAGAAAATAGTCCCAGTAACTATGAAAGCTGCAGTCACAGCAGCTTCGTCCAGTAACTCTTTGGGCAAATCTTAGTAGCAGGTCGGGTTGAAATTTTATCTCATGCATGAGAGAGACACAGAAGCAGCAATATTTGTGTAGTTTTTTTCTCATACTGTTAATAGAATTTTAGAAATGGAATGGAAACTGGATGGTGAAAAGGAAAACTATATAGGGGTTCACTGGCAAGCGGTGACTGATCACTGTAAAGTACCCACAAGTTACTATGTGTCTCTGTCTCTGTCTCTGTAATTAGTTTTACTCTTTTAGGTAATCAAGTGAGGAGCAATCAGTGTCAGAAATTTCAACCCACAAGCAGCATTTTTTCTGATTGAATAAACAGAAGATTCCAGGTCTTATTTTTTTCTGTTTAGAAAATTAGCAAAACAAAAGCATATATGCCCAAATATTATCATTTCAAGCAACCACAACCATACCTGCAGTAGAATGACTCTCCACATCCACCAGGGCATGGAACAGCTGGTGGCAAGGAGAACTTGTTGGAGTAAGGAAGCATCATGTGGCCGTTCATTAATGATTGAACAACTCCTTCAGGGACATGAACTTTAGCTTCAGGACTACTAAAACTACATTCACCAGCGCCATCCTCCCTTTTTTTATATGAACTTTCTTCTCCATCAGATGAATATGTGTCATTATTGTATTTTGATGCGTTTGAAGAGTCACTCATATCACAATTATGACTCTCAGATGCCCCTACTTCTTGCATGTAAAGCCTCCTTCCGATTTGAAGTTCTATAGAACCAAGAAAACAAAAGCAGGAACTACAGACAAAACAATCAATCTGTGATGTAAAAGAGAATGTGAGGGAAAGCCATCTTGAGAGAAGAAATCGTTTCAGAATAGCTACAAAGAACAAATGGTGAGAAACCTTGTTGGAAGAGTGTTGAACCCCAACTAGCATTTGATCTTTCAGAACAAGCTCTGCGTCATTGAAGTCTATGGCAGCATACACACCTGCAATTAACCAATTACAACAGAAACAATATGACACATAAGAAATCAGAGAACCTATTTGAGGAACATTCGATTCATGGCCTTCTATGTAATAAATATGGAAGTGATGAACTCCATGGTTTCTGAAATTACTTGCACAAAAACATGGCAGACTCAACAGTAATTAAGACAAGATGAAATCAGTTATACTGATAATCTATTCTTAATCTTATGATTTTTTCAGTTCAAGTTCTTACCAATGCTCTCTAGAACGACATTTTTTTTTTTTAATAAGAGAACGACTAATTTTTTGCAATTCATCACTGATACAGTCTCCTCTTTATGTTACTTTGGGAATTATACTAACATGTCCACAAACTCAACACTAATCAAGAAAGCAGTAGATTATGCCTAGCGGCAACCACACCATAGTCAACAACAAGATCTCACTGACCCAAAGAATAGATATATATATATATATACACACACACCCTAATGCATTGTGTGCGCGGAAAAGACGAATGAAAACAGAGTAATACCCTTTCCAAAATTTTCATCCTGTTGGACTATGATACTACTGCACTTCCTCGCAGATAAAAGCTTGTGATAATATTCCTGGAGAAGATACGAACAGAACTAAACACATTCAGCATCCAAAGAACTTAAGAACATCTGTAGTCGAGCAAATTATAACTTCTCAACGATTAATTTCACCAGAAGATCAGTTATTTTAACCAATTTAATCTGTTTCGTTACAAATCATAAAGGCGGCAATTATTAATTTTTCTCAGCAGGAAACATAACAAAATGAAAGACAAAGCTTGGTAAGATAAGAAGAGTCTAGAGAGATTGCCTGGACTTGAAGAGGTGACGGAGGACTGAGAAGAGCTGCAATTTCATTGGCACACCGCGAGTCTATTGGGCAAATGGACTCCATTGTCAGGGAGGAGTGCGAGAAGCACAGGGCGCTATACTGCTATGTGTATGTAGGAATATTGAGACGGCGCCCAGGAACCTGGTAAGAGCTCCCCCGTGTCAATGCTTTCAGTTCTTCCCGGTGATAGTATCAAGTTGAATGAGGAGCAGCTATTTTCTGCTTTTACAGTTCTACCTTGCGTTGCATTGATCTTCAATTGAGGGTTAATGATGGAAAAATATTATTAAAATATGTAAATAATAATGACACCTCGTGAAATATCAAATATAATAATTTAAGAAAATTTTGTTAATAAATTTTAAAGTAAAGATATATTTTTATTCACATAAAAAAATAAAAGAAAGATGGCGCAACACAAGAAAAGGTTTTGATTTTATTTTATCCCCTGCAGCACCAAGGCAAAGTACCTTCTTCATCCCATTTGTAAAATATATTTTAAAAAATTTATTTAATTTTATTTATAAATTATGGTATGATTTTTTAAATAATATTTAAAAAATATTTTTAAAATTATTTTTTATGAGAAGAAAAAAAAGTAATATGATATTCCTTTCGTTTTTATTGATAGAAAAAACCATTACTTTTAGTTTTTTTTATATAAACGAAATTAATTCAATAAACATCTATTACAAATTTTATAAATTATTTCTCATAATTTTATCATTTGTAGTTATAGGAAATAATTAATAAAGACTTGATTAACACGATTAATGAAAGGTGTTATAGTATAATTTTTTATTTTCAGACATAATTAATATAATCAATTAAGTTTTTTTAGATTGCGTGATACATTTTTCTCTCTTACAAATAAAATCAGAGGGAGTATTATTTTTTAAATTTATTATATAGAAGCATATTGAAATTTTACACATTTTTATTCATTTTATTTTTTTATATTAGTATTGATAAAATTAATAAAAATTGCTTACAAAATAACGGAAAAGGTAAGTTAGTAACCAAACTCTTGTTGATTCCTTGGATGCTTCCATTCACATGCTCAATTGCACATATTGAACCCACGATTGCACATATCACATATATTAAAATAAATAAGCCATTTACTGTTATTATTTAAATTCTTTTGAAAAAAATTATAATGCTCATTAATAATAACCATTAAATAGATATTATATTTATTTCATATCATAATTAACAATCTCACACCTTGAACCAAAACAACGATTAAATAGGTAGATGAAATTGAATATGGATGAATGTAATGAAGGAAGGTAGAGAGATAATCCAAATATTATATTATATTAAGCACATTTTATCAATGATTAATAATTAATATTTAATAACGATAATAATACTAAAGTAGGTAGAGAGATAATCCAAATATTATATTATATTAAGCACATTTTATCACTGATTAATGATTAATATTTAATAGAGATAATAATACTAAAGTAGAAATTAAAACTTAATTAAAAATCACATTTTTAAAATAAAGAATGTTATTTTATTTCTCATTATTTAATCTTCATTTATTTTAGTAATTATTTTTATTTAATAAAAAAATTTATGTTATATATTTTTAAGCTTTTAAGTGAAATCATTCACTTAATCAATATCATGCATATTATGTAGTGTATGTATCAAAATGGGAAAAGCTTATATTATCTTCTAGTCATGGTATATCAATGTCATGAAAATTGACCGATCATAAATTAATATATCTTAAATTATATATGTCTAAAATAAAAGAAATGGTCATCCATAATAATAGAAATGAATATTTAAATTTAAAAATAACATGGGATAAAAAAGAAAAGCAATATCCATCAATACTTCATCTCCTAACCCAAATGTAAGTACTTATGGCATAATTTATAATTTTACGGTACATCCATACACATTCCATATTTGCTCATTTTTCTTTCCTTTACAATGCTTATGGGGTGGGTGGGTGCATGTATGCATGAATTGTAGTTGAAAAACACAGCACAATGAAACAATCAAAGTTGGCAAGCGGATGTTTTGTCTTCTTTTTCCCTCTGATCATTGTTTGGGTCAATTTCCAAATTTCATGTAATGCCCTGCTTCTACAGACATCATGACTCTTTAATCTTGATGTTACTTTGAGTTAAAGTATATTTTTACTCTTAATGTATTTTATAAAGAGCACTTAATACCCTAACATTTTTGTTTAAACAATTTTACCTTTAAAGTTATTAAAACGAAATATTTTTACTATTTTCGTCAAAATTTCACACTAACCTCAAACATTGATCATTAAAAAAATTTAACAAAAAAAACAAAAATGCTTCATTTTAATAACTTTAAGAACAAAATTACTCCAACAAAAATGTCAAAATGCTGAATGCTCCTCAGGAAATACATCAAAAGCAAATATACACCTTCACCCTATTACTTTTCATATATATGCAAATGAACCACCAGCCAGAAAACAGTTTCAAACTGGCACGAATGCTGATTAGGTTATCACATCGTTGATTTGAAACAGTGAATTCTAATGCCAGAAACATGACCAACTACAAATATAAAGAGAAAAATACTATGTTTCGTGGCTGTACAAATAAGGATCAATAGATTTTTCTTTTGTCAAAAAAAAAAAAAAGAGGGACTTTTCTATAGCCTGTAAAGTAAGGATGACGACCATTTTTATACAGTGGCATATCATTTGATCCAATATATTGCACAAAGCTCAAGTATAAAGGGCAAAAAAAAAAAAGATTAAAATTTCTTCTTTGATACGGATGCACGGTATTCATCTGAAGACCCAGGGACAACACCCTCACAAGTTTGAAGAAAATCTACCTAGTATGGTCGCTAGAGGCCAAGATCCAGAAGGAAACAACTGAAATCAACTTCACGAATAACAATTCATCTTCTAGTAGATTGAGTTTCATATAGATCCAAAGAACTGTTCCAGGGATGAAGCACTGAACACATTAGCAGCAGTTCGTTCGGTTCTAAAAGGACAGACATGAAGTTCGTACTTGATAAACCTCTGCAACATGATTTGTTAACCATGAGATATATAAATATATATATATACATATATATATGCATGACAGAATTTCAGCCTAGAAAGAAATGACATTAAGTGTATTATATCAAAGTATGCACAAAATATCAAAGTATGTACAAAATAACAGATGAATGTAAATTTAAGTTTCTAACAACATACAGCTAACTGAGAGATAATTTCCGGATTTGTGTCAACATGCCAATCTGGTTCCAACTGCCGAACAAATGATGACCGCCCATTCTCTGTGCTACAGAAGAGGACCTGCATGCAGATGCCGGTATAAAGGTACGTGACAAAAAGTTACTTCAACCTTGAGAAAAAGTAGGCAGCAACAATTATCAATATCAGAACTTTACAAGTTGCACAGAAGAAGTTGAACACATCACAATTCCATAAATTACTATACATTTACATAGTCTGCAATTTCAATCTGATTTGTTGAGCGCATCAAATATACAATCACTAGAATTCATGCAAGATCAAAGTGTAGAATTCCAGGTCCCAAGGATATCTTGAAAGGAAAAAAAAAAAAAAACACTGGAGAAACAATGGGAAAATGACCACTAAGGTACAAAGTTTTTCTTCATTAGAACCCCTTGTCATCCTCACCATCTCCTCTGACAAATTATTTTCTAAAGAACAACTCCATACTGAATTTGTTTTGGGTCCTTCCAACATCTATCATGACTCTTTCCCAAAAGAACCATCGAATTAAATCCTTCAGGATCTCTCTATAGGGATGCTCCTTAAATTAGCATCACTGTCCTTTAGATCATCTCTGAAAAAGATGTCGTGGTATAACAAAGGTTAATGCAAATTCTAATCACATGCGATGTTTACTATCAGAAGTTCAGAACAAATATGAATACACTTCTACTGAAATAGAGAGAAAATTTAGGAGTTTGGAGGCGAGGGGGAGTGAAGAAATCTAAGGAAAATGGAAGGAAAGAAGTGGAGCAAAAAGGGGTGGTCAAATGATAATTTCCTTCCCCTTGCCGGAGAAAACGTCTTCCAACATCCTCCAAATTGGGGAAACATGAAAGTATAAAGACAAAAGGAACTTTCAAGTATTTTGGAAACCAAATCCTTCATCATCTTTCCATCACTATTAAAAACTCCGATGCAAAGTAAAAGTTTCAATGAAATTTTCCCTTCCCCTTCATTACCATCCATCAAAACATTCTACTAGTGTGGAAAATTAATTGAATAAAAGTTGCACATACTCAAGGCTGACAAAATACCCATCAATGCCATACAAAGAAGATGGCTAAGCCTAGTGGAATAAAAAGGTTTTAGTAGGTTTGAATTCTCAGACCTTGTCCCTGACCAGACCACCTGAAGTGAAAACCCCAGCCTCTTCTAATGCTACAAGAACTCTTTTCTGCAGAACAATTTATAATAGACTGTAAACTTTTGAACATTGTCAATATAGCAACGTAAAATCATTATAAAGTGGCCTGTAATCAATCTTACTTTGGACGAAATATTAACAGCAGTGAGAAAAATACAACCTTGAAACATTTGATGCATATAGCTGTTACCACTATTATGATCTGCCTTGCAGGATATATGAGCTGATCGAAAGTTAAAGAGAAATGATATAAATGGACATATCACATGTCTGACGTGACATCAATGATGGTTACAGAACAAGTTCCAGGCATTAAAGATACTCCCAACGTAAAAATTTTTACCTCAAAAATCTATAGAATATCTTAGTTCATTACAGTACCATCAGTTCTAAAATAACAATGCTGAACCACTACATAGGAAAATGGTCTTGCTGCATATACTGTGAAGTATTGCTCATCCAGTCCATTATGCTCATCAAATAATACGTGAGGTTAAGTGATTTAGACTGTCAAATAACACACCTCACTTTCATCATCCAGAACTCGTTCCATAAGATATAGATCACAGAATCTTGTAATCTCCAACAACACTTCCAGCACAGAAGACCTCACAGTAGCTTGTCTCTGGCAAAAGTAGAATGAACCACATTGATCTGTTTATCCATATTGATGTCTTCGAACAAAATGAAAGAAGAAAGGATAATTGTACTACCTGAAGCTCCTCTGGACTACTTTCCTCAAAGACCACTCCTAGAAGGCTACAAGTTACCTGCATATGACACAGACTAAGTCATAAAATTTTACCATGCAAGACAGAAAAATTTGATCCAGAACAGAGTGTAAAACTTAAAATCTTCTACGCCTGTTTACAAATGTAAAAGCACAAACGTACGAGCTGAGACAAAGGAGAGGACTAACGATCGTGCAGAATTACCCTTTTGGATGCAATGTGATAGAAGACTCGATGCACCTTATCCGTGACTAGATGTTTATCACAAGATTTTTGTTCTTTTTCTTTCTAAATCGTATCTTATCAAAGTTTACCATAATTTGAAATCAGGTTCTTTTTAAAGCAAGAGCACATCTGTAAACATACTGCGATGGTCTTTTTATTCTTTCTTTTTTTTTTAAAAAAAAAAAAGGCTTGTTCAAGAAATTACAAGCAAGGATATGCATAATTACCTTTCTTCCTTCACTCAACTTCTGCCGAACTATCTGCCCCAAGGTTGGCTGGAAAGATTTAGGAATAAGCAAGCCAAGAGTGTCCATCATTTGAAAAGCAATCCAATTTGCCAAGCATTAATCCTAAATAATTTATGTATTGTCTGAAGCAAAGTGCAGTGACAAGCATGTTTACCTTTACTGGCTGTACAAACCCATCAACAACATTTTGTGCCCTTGAAACATCTAACGGTGAACAAACCCCAGATGCAGTCAATGAGGCACTAGATTGAGTATTTACACCAGAAGCATCAGGTGCAGCAGTTTGTCGCTTCCTTTGCCTACGTTGAGATCCACTAGGGGATCTCAATAGTCTCCAAGTGAAGAAAACTAAAACAGCAAGACCCGCAACTGCCCCAATAGAACGTGAATCCTAATACCAAGTGAAGCATTTTGATGAGCTCAAAAGTTACCCAATTTAAAGATGGCTGTTACTTGTTATTACACTTCCAAGATGAAAAGGAGACACTCGTTAAACAAATTGAAGCATAAATAAACTACCAAAAAACTAAGGCATTATTGAAGATTACATATGCTTAAAAAAGACAGGGTTGAGAGACAAGGAGGAAAAACATTAATTCCGAAAGTACATAATTAATATGTAACAAAGCGAACAACATAGAAGAGATCTTTCATGCTATATGTGCACTTGGCATCATTTAGACAACAAAATGAGCATGAAAACTTCTCCCTCCCTAAGCCCAAAGAGATATAAGCTTTCAAGCAGTCAAATTTCACCCTACATTATCATTGCTAGCAGCCAGCCACACTATGCGCTTCCTGCGCTTGATTCTTCTAGGATTACCCGGTATGAATAAATTATTCTTCATTTTTTTGTCTTAAATGCTTAACGTCGTTTACCAGGCCACGGATCATATAAACTGTCAATTAAGAATCATACTACCACAACAAACTATACTCTGAACTAGCTGCGAATAAAAACAACTCCAAAGAGAAGAAAGCACCAGAGAGAGAAAACCCCAGGGGATAAAATACACAGAAAAATCAGCATTCTTGTGTACGACAGAATGTACATTAGATCCATGAAGTGGACATTAAAAAGGAAGCTAAGATGAGCAAAAGTACCATAGTATGAAGCAAGATTGCAAAGAGATTAGATACCTCATCGTGAGAAAAGATATCATACGCTTGATCAGGGGGAGCGGCTCTTCTTTCGAGGTGTCGGCCATCGTATACCGACTTCCTCCAACAGTCCGCCTGACCAAAGATTCCTCTTTCTTTTTTTCTTTTGTTTTTTTTTTGGCCCGAAAAGATTCTTCTTGTTCCAGACCGATGAGGTTTCAGAGGATAGCTTAAATTCGTAGCACCTTCCTCGATAATCACTTGGTAGTGCCCGAACGAGAAACTACGTTCAGAATCCAGAAGCTTTCGATACAAGAAGACTTCTGTCTGTCTATTTTTGAACCCTATGACTCTTTCCACTCCATTTGCCTTTACGGGGCGTGTATTTATTTCATCTGGTTTCTCCTCGATTTCGTTTTCATCTTCTTTTTATTTGCATTTCTTCGTCTGGATTTTTTATGCATTAGATTATCCTTTTGACGTTTCTTCCTGATGGATTAATTACTTTTTATGAACCTTCTTCATGGGGAAAAAATTACTTTTTATGAACCAAGATGCCTTTTTTAATACAAAATTAACTTGATTGTCAGAGAATTAAATTGTTATTCAAAAGGATCGGCTTCTATTTTTTGTTAACTAATATTAACTTCCATGGGTTGCTGATGCTCTATCTCTATCTGATCTAACTTGTAGAAAAGAAATTATAATTGCCAAGATTTGTGTAATAATTTATCCAAAGTAGTTTCATTTAACATGCTCATGCCATTTTTTTTGGACATGCAAGACTCGAATGATGGGATTTATATGTAAGCATTATTTAGGGTCCTAACTATTTTATTTTCTCTATATTGGCTGCTGAATATATCCGAAGCCTTGTGATGTCTGTCTTGAAATTTTTTTGACAGAGATTAGGAGTTTATTTTTCGCCTTCCATCTTTGAAGGCAGGATGCAATAAAGGCATTCCCTTAATCAGGAGGCTCGCTAATAAGTCACTTCCTTGTATTATCATGCGTCATGATGTAATCTTAAAGTAAAAAAATTAGGTGACACATGGAGAGATATGAGAACAAGAATGGAAAGAAAGAAGGAACAAGATTCCATTAGTATTTCTTATTTTCCTCTGACATTTTTAGCATCTAGTCATTTGACAGAATATGCTAGAATGCGTTAAATTTTCCATACTTCCGTAGTTTAACAAGTTAATTTCCTCCCCCTTTTAATTTAAATCACATTTTTCAAGACATTAAAAAGAAGATTTCATTCCAAAGCTAATACAGGCCATCTGCCAATTGAAAACCTAATTTATTCTTCCCATGCCTCATATTCATATCTGTAGAGAATTAGATTTGTGAAATTGAATACAAATAATTTATACTATCCATACAATACTGATGGTATTCTACATTTAACTTCGCAAATCTCATCCGAAAACCACCTTGCTTCTTGGGGGAAAAAAAAAGAAAGAAAAGAAAAAGCCTGGTCAGAATTATTAAAGGGCTTAGCATTTTGTATACGAAAAGATATAATTTCACACCTAGCCTTCCACTTCAACCGGGAGGTGCACGAAAGATAAGTATTTGAGCATTGATGTTCTGCAAATAGGGATTCAGACTTGCCCAAGTTGAAAACCCACATATCATTGATAATGGATGAGATAGAAGATAGCCACCGAGGCTATTCAACATTGCTCCAATTTTAATAACTAACAAATTTCGATTATAGCCAAGTTGACACTACTCGTATGGATTCCATGAACTACAAGCTTCATCCTTTTTCCGCAGGAATAGAAAGGTGTGACACGATTTGAGAAGATTATGAAAACGAGGAAGAATGAAAAGAGGAGGGAAGCAGGGGACCCAAAATTCAGCAAAACAAATGACTCAAGGTCATTAGGTCAGCCCGCAAGCACAATTTAAGATGATGGGGAAGAGTTAAAACGATCTTCAACTGATATTTCGGTCTCAGGGTCATCTACAGCGCTGGCTACCAATGCTCTCTCAATCTTCATGCCTGTCCCATTCACAAGCATCTCTTTTTCCAAGTGCAAGCAGTAGCCTTCGAAAACCCGAGAGCTTACCATCACTCCAAAATCTAATAGAAAGAGCAACTCTATTTCAAGCTTGTTTAATTCAGCGTTGCTCACTCCTCCCACTCGAGCATAAAACGCGTTGTCATAATGTCTGCAACAGAGAGAGACAAAAAGATGGTGAAATTTGTACAGTCGAATTGAAGGAGAAAGTTCAGAGAATGCGACTCACACATCATCCAGCATCTTGGAAGCAACCATGACGCTGGTAATTATCAATCTGTGTACATTCAAGGATACCACAAGCGAGTCAGGGTGCCTATGTATGAGCCTGTCTATATACGCATAACCAACCACGAAACAAGATGGGCTGCAACTAGTGTACTTGTAAATCCTCTCCAAATACTTGGGTATGCTTATGCTCGGAGCTCTCACACCATGAAAGGGTTTCAAGCTCTTCCCGAGTCTCACAGAGCCACAGCACAGCCCGTCGAGCTGCTGGTCCAGGCCATCAACGAGCCTGTCATTTCGTGCCACCAGCTTCTCTATCATGGAAGATAGGACACAGAGCACTCTAGGTAAGCTGAGCTCGCTCTGGCTCGTCTCCGGCTGCAGCTGCCGGCCGGTATGGTTGCTGTACTCTGCGGCTGCTAACATTTAGGCCATCGAGTGGGTTCACCGAGAGAATTACGGTTGGAGTGGTCAAGAGCAAGAGCAAGAGTACCGAGTCTCATGTTTCATGTCTGCTCGTTATCTGGTTTGAACGAACCACTCAGTGGATGGCTGACACGTTCACATATGCCCTGACACATGAGAAATTTAGCATCTTTTGCTATCGGGGAGTCTGGTGATGGAATGGTAGGGTGTGGACTGTGGAGGGAAGGGAATCAGGGATAGATAGATCCTGGCTGTGCCACGAAAATCCACCAACAGGGGTCCCAGTTTCATGTCGTACTTGTGACAGAAGAAAACAATAAATTGCCCAAGAATATACAGTCTGGCAACGTCGTGTCGGGCCAACACGAAAGAAGAACAGTCCTGGCCCCTACTGCGCAATCACAAGATTTGATGTGCCCAAGGCTACTCAAATAAAATGTTGTAGTTCCATTAAGGTCACCAGATATTGGAAAACGTGGCCTACTTCAGCTTGGTTTTGGCTCTTTTGTTCTTAAAAAAATGGCATTAATTTTTGTTCAAGGTTCGGCCCTAAACAGGGGAAAACAGAAATAATTAAATCACCAATAACCAGCTATACAGCTATTTTTCGTGGTATGTTTAATTAAACTTTTAATTGAAATCAAATAACTTACCATGATACGAATTTTATTTTTAATGAACGTGGATTCAAAATAAGTTACATTAAAATCATTGCAATACATATTTTAAACAATATACATAATATAAAAAGGTGGACAAAAATTACGTTATAGCCTTCAGTTGCACCTTTTTTGTCATTGACTTTATACCCTGTCAATTTTTTTTATCATATTCCATTTTCCTATGCTAATTTCCATTTAAATTGGCATTTAAGGAGAAATTTTCCCCAACTCTCCGGATGACAGCTTTTATTTTAAACGCGTGCCTTCTAGTTTAAAGCATAGTAGTAAACTAGAAATTAAAGGCACTGAGTCATAGAGTAGCTAGCGGGTTTAATTAACAGCTATTTCAATTGCATTATGGTCAACGTCAACATTTAAAAGACGAGTGTGTGCCCATCGGCTTTGCATTTGTAAAATGGACAGAGATCGTACATTTGCCATATCGTTTAGGAGAGTTCTACGTATATTTGCCAATACAGTTCGTTTTAAATCCTAACGGAACGTATGAACATTATTGTTTAAGTGTAAAAATAAAAAGAATCTTTTTTTGCCAGAAAAAATAAAAAGACTTATCCCAGGCAAAAATAAAAATAAAAACAAAAAGATTCATCCTAACAAAAACAAAATACAAGCACATTTAAAAGAAAACCATTTTTTATTTAAAAAAATGCAACCATGTTATAAAAAAGCATTATTATCTTTTTCAATGCGTGTTTAATTGTTTTTATTTGTTGGAATTTGAAATCACTCCCGAATTTAGAGTGATTTGATAAAAAAAAAGTGTTATCAATCTATATTATTTAAATTATTTTTAAATAGCATATAAAGAATATAAATTAGGCGACATCGATTAGTTTTTTAGAAACTGTTATGCAACAAGTCGATCAAAAAAAGAAACCGTGATCTAACAAACCCCACGTGTCCTCCTTCCCGGAGAAGCCTCGAAATTATTACACATATCTCGCCCATAACGCGACTGCTAAGCTAACTAGGAGATATATATATATATATATATATATATTCTTTATTTATTTATTTTTTTACTGCGGCCGAGAAAGCAGGCGCTGACTATACCGATTTCCCCCCAGGATCTCCTCCCAAGCCAGCTCAGATCCTCTCTTCAAACCCCAGATTTCGCCACGTGACAGAAATTACGGAAGCGTAGAAAAAGCACTTCTGTAAATAGTTTCCCATTCAACCATCTCCTTCTTCCTTCTCTCGCTCAACTCATCATCATTCGCTACCTTCTCATCGTTCACAGCCCAGTAAAACAACTTTCAAATTTTCTAGACATCGATCAGCTCACATTCTTCCAGCTGTTCCTGGGCGGCATTCTTAGCAGCATTCGCATAAAGCTCATCGTCCTGTTTATTCTGATGTTCACTTCACACGCAATTATATAACACGTAGCATTAAAACAGCTGATCTTTTAATTTCAGTTACAAAGATAAAGGTGTACGTGTCATGTATTGTCAGGTGACACCTCGTAGCTTTCGTTACAGGAAGATTAAAGAGTTCGACGATGGAGAAACAGAATAAATATAACCATAAGCTGTGTTGAAAAGCAATTTAGTAAAATGAACAAGAATAATTAAGGAGTGAGGGGACGGAGGATTATGGATTCTCTATGCGAGTTATGTGTAGTGGTAAGAGCTGTGGTGTATTGCAAGCGTGATTCTGCGCGTCTCTGTTTGAATTGTGATGCTTATGTTCACTCTGCCAACGCTTTGTCGCGCAGACATCCTCGCTCGCTGGTATGTGACAAATGCCAAGCCCAACCAGCGATTGTCCACTGCGTGGATGATAAAATGTCTCTGTGTCAAGGTTGTGATTGTAATCGAAATGTCTGTCTGGGATTAGGACACAGGCGTCTGATGTTGCTTAGTTACACAGGTTGTCCGTCTTTCGCTGAGATGTGTAGGATCTGGCCCTTTGCTTTTGACTCTACCTCGAGCGGTTTACCTCGTAGTTGGGGATCTTTTAATTCCTTGCCAAAGAATGAAAGCATCTGTTTCGCGCAGCTAGATGACAATGATGCATCCGTCGGTGGCAAGTTGAGTGAACTTGAATCTTGCACAAAGTATGACCCTAAGATGCCTCAATCCTCAATCCTTCAACCAAATCCAAATTTCATGCCCTATTGCAGAGATCAACCAGTTTTATTTCCTCAAGACTCTAAACTCCTGCCAAAGGTATTGATTTGTTTTACTTTTGTACTCTACTATTCTAGTTATTAACAGTGCGTGTATTCTACTTTTTCAGGATATCACACACAGTCCAAAGTTCATTGACACATAGGGTATTCCATTATTTCACAGGGCGAGAAGTACTAAAATAGTTTAAGGAGTAGTATTTAGAATTTTCAAAATTAGAAGTATGATTAATGTAAGGTTGTTAAGTTCAATCAATCCTATGATTACTGCGTTATCCTTCTCAACCAAAGCTGATCCAAGTTTATTTTCTCCCAAAACTGGTGAGATGCAGGGATTTCACGATTCCAAGGACATTGGAATTTCCGAGGCTGACGACCTCTGTGAAGCTCTTAACATGGACAGTGTTCAATTGAACTTTGAAAGTGCTAATGAAATGTTTGATTGCTCCCAAGGCGCCACTGGTTACCAGCTGGAGGATGGAGGATTGGATTGTCTATTAATCGAAAAAAACTTATCAGTTACAGAATCTAATGGCCTTATTCAGAATACCATGGAGGTTGTCCTGCAATTCATAGCTTCTTTTATCATTCTCTAGCAGGCGAAATTAAAGAAAAGGGCTAGTTTCTTCTGCTTTCCTTTTTATTTGTCCCTCCAAAAAAACTAGGTAATTTACTAGTGATGCACGAAACTAATAGTCGGCAATCTGATTGTTTCAGGCATCATCATCAGTCCAGCAAGGTTGCGTGGGTTTTCAATCATCCAGGGAAGGTGGATCAGGTTCTATGATCCAGGGGATGAACAGAAATGCAAATTGTGTACTTATGAATCCTAGCTGCAACGGAGAAATGAATATGGGATTTCCTCAGGGTCAAGTTCATTCAAGTATGCCGCTATCATTGCCCACCATCAATTGTGATAGTGACACTACCACTACGGATTTTCAGGATTGTGCCACTTCTGAGTTTCAAGATTGTGGGTTATCACCAACACTATTGACAGTTGATACACCATGGGAATCAAATTTGGGGTCTACATGCCCACAAGCAAGGGAGAAAGCTAAAATGAGATACATTGAGAAAAAGAAGACTCGAACGTAAGTGCCTTGCTAGTTATCCAAGTGCGTGCCTGTGTTATAGGGTATATTGAACATATAAATGTTTTTGAGACCTTAAAACACACTCCCTCTTTCACATTATTTGCTGCACATCCTGGTTGTACACTGGGACAGGTAAATTTCTCAGACACCTAAAAATATATAGTAGGTATATTTTAATCTTTCGCAGGTCTAGCTAGAGACACACGTACTAGTCGAATTCATTTTCTGAATTAGACACTGAGAAATTGTTGGCTGGTTGCAATTGTTCTTTGGCTGGTATGCTCATTTATGATATGCAGGTTTAGTAAACAAATAAGGTACGCGTCTCGCAAAGCAAGAGCTGATACTAGAAAACGTGTAAAAGGTAGATTTGTGAAAGCAGGAGAAGAATATGATTATGATCCTCTTGTGACAGAGAACTACTAAGGCATATTATCAGTCATTTCCTTCCCTGCAAGATTTGTGGTTCTGACTGATAAGATAGCCACTGGACATTTTTCTTTTGTCCAGCACCACTAGACGTTTTCGGCACTTTGTTTTGTTTGCAGTTTTAATTTATACGGCGGGAAGATTTGTTCATCTTATATGAGTCATGAAATTTTGAAAGATTTTGAGCTCAGCTATACTATTATTCAAAACTTTTTTTTGCACAGAAATCAGACATTTTTGGCACTTTGTTTTGTTCGCAGTACTCCTTCTGCAGCAATATTTATGAACTGTTCTTTATTTTGTGTGAATTTTTTGTTGTCATACTCTGTGATGTTTTTTGTATTCCGTGTGAATGTAATGGACAACTTTGGTGCAAGGTAATGTTATTTGAAATCTACTGTGAAGTGCTTTAAACATAATTTATGTAAAGTAATTTTAACTATATGTTGTTACGTAAAATATGAAAGCATGATTACAACTGCCTAAATATTAATGTACAAAGAAGTGAGATAAAATGAAAGTAAATAAATTATGTAAGGAAGTGCTTCGTGTGCAATACACGAGGGAGTGAATAATTGTTAATCTAAAAAGAAATCAAATATGCAAAGAATTAATTGAAGGGCTTACATTTGAAACATTGCAAAAGTAATTGCTTTTTCCTTTTTTCTTTTTTGACCTAAATAAATGCTTGCATTTAAACCAAGATAAATATTGCGTTTATTTATCTGGAGAAATGTCTATAGACTGCATGAGGTTTGAACTTTGAATAGATTCCAATTGTATTACAATGAGTTCCCATGCATTCAGAAATCAAAGGGTAATTAAGAGAGGTGCAATATATACATATATATATTGGAGTAGATAAATGGAACAAAAAATAAGTGTAGCGGAAATTTATATATTATATCATCTTCTAGCAACTCCTTCCCACAAACAAAAATAAAAAATAAAAAATAACAATTAGAGACCTCATAAAATATTAATTATAATTACAGACTCTGAATTATAAAATCACAATATGATCTTTATTTACAATAAAATATCTTTTATTGATTGACTTAAATTCACAGTTAATTTTTGTAAATTTTAACTAACATTACAAAGATTCTCAAGTATCTTTTATAAATTTTTTAAATGATTTATCTATATATTACAACAAAAAAATTAGAAATGATTGGCTTAAGATTTACAATTAAGTCTTGTAAATTTTCAACTGACTTTACAAATAATCTCAAATTAGAGTTGGAAAAACAGGTCGACCTTTAATGGGCTTGGGTTTAAAAGGGCCAGCCCGTTTAAGTTCAAGTTTCCTTTAAGGGGTTTAATACTGAAGCTCAGCTCTCAGTATAACGGGCTTAAGGCTGGCCCTACGAGCTTCAGGCCCTTTTGCTTTTTTTTTATTTTTTTCAAATTAAAACTGATTCAATTATTCCACTATAATATAAAATATTACTCTAATATCAAATCACATAAGCTAAACAACAATAATTAATAAACAAACTAACTAACCACAATAAGCAAATAACAATATCCAAAGAAACAAAACAACATCTAAATAAGCTAGATATTAGAAACACAATCCAAATGAAAAAGATAGTATGCAACCGTGCATGATTCAACAAATGAAGGAAGGTTAAAGAGTATGAGCACCAATAAATGAGGACTTCATGAACAAACCACCCAAGAAAAACAGAACAGAGAACACCCAGGCAAAAGAGGAGAAGGCTTCGACCTTCATGAACTCAGGGACTCACAGACTCAGGGCCGTCAGATTGAGCGTTGAGGAAGAGCGATTGACACAGCCTTCATCATTGTTGAGGATGGATCTGGAGATGGGCGTGGATGTGTAAGGGTGAGGCAGTCGGTGTCTCTCGGTGGTGGGCGATGGCTGAGTTCAAATCTGACTCTTAATCTGAAGGGTGAATCTATGAGATCCTGAAGGAGAAGGAGATCTAGAGACAATTGAAACAATCTCAACCTCATTGCATCTTGGCTCTCATCAGCTCCAACTTGTGTTCACTAAACGAACATGATGCGCAAATTGAATTAGGAATTTTAGATTTTAGGGTTAGCTTTTTTTTTTAATTCCCTCCTTTAGTAGATATTAGCTTAACTCACACAATTATTGTCCAACCCAGACGATGTCCAATCCACAAAAGGCATGAGCCTGCCTACATGTCTATAATTGAAAAAAATTTACAAGGGCTTAAACGGGCTGGCCCTCGGCCTGTTAGGGCCAACCCATTTAAATTAGGGCTTAAACGGGCTAGCCCTTTTGAGATCGATTGTCATTTTGAAGGTTCTAATTGTAAGCCCAGCCCTCTTATTAAACGGGTTTAAACAAGTAGGCTTGACAAGCTCAGCTCATTTTTTCGGCTCTATCCCAAATGTATTTTGTAAATTCCCAAGCAATTTGTTTATATATTAACAATAAAAAATTATAAGTGATTGACTTACAATTTATAATTGATCTTTGTAAATTCTCAACTAATGTTACAAATAATTCTAAGTATATTTTATTGATTTCTTAAGTTTTTATTCATATGTTAATAATAAAAAATTGAGATTCATGACTGATTTTCATAAATTCCCAATAGATATTGCAAATAATCTCAAATATATTTTGTCAATTTTTTGATTGACTATTCACATTTTTTTAAATATAAGTAAGGACTATGGTCTATTATTAAAATTTAATAATTTAAAATCTGTAATTATAATTAATATTTTTATGCACTCCCTAATTGTCATTTAAAAAAAATCATTTTTTCTTTTAGAGGCCATGATTAATTCATTCGACTGAGTTCGGAGGCCGCACTTGTAAGTAGTCACCAGTGACATGCATTTTTAATGGTAACTACTTATTGATATACGTATGTAGTTATGTACGACGTATTAATAAACTAGTTTAAAATAATGGTCATTAACCCACCACTTTGTTAGAATTTCTCTCTGACTATACGTTGTAAAACGCTCAAGACTTAAGAGGATCCAATTTTATTTTTCTCATGCACAGGAAAACATACGTAACAGAAGTAACCGTTAAATCATCACATACAAGTTGTTCTCACGATCGAATTCCTCTGGATAAGAACATGCATCATCAATGCAGAATGTTACTGCATCACGAAAGCTTGAATGCTAAACGATTTGCATTAATGCAATTTATAACCAGAGGAGAACCTTCCTTATAATAATTTTATCAAATTAAGACAGTTAATCATTTATACGTTTACCTGAGACCTGCCGTTATTTATTTCTGCATACTAAAATACTTATATTGTGTACCAGCAGAGTTTTTTGTGCTGAAGAGAAAACGACAACTCTTTTCTCCTCTTTTTTTGAAGGGGGTCTAAGGTCCATACTCTTTTACACACATTAATTAATGCTTTTCCAAATACATTATAATCAAATTACTTATATATGTGTGTGTGTGTGTGTGTGTGCAGGAGATCCAAATATTAGATCTTCATCCTAGGTTAAAAAAAAAAAAAGATCCTCATCCAAGCTAACGTATGGAAGTGGTTGGCTTGACTTTCCCCCGTCGTTCTATTACCGTCAGCAAGTAGCTGAATTTCTTTCGCGTTCTCCGTAATGCATGATGAGGTATCGACCAACTTTTTTTGACCAGAATGAAAGATCATTACTAACTCTCCACGTGGAAGCCTGTATTTCCCGGAAGCGCTTTTTCTTAATTATACAGTTCTGACTCTACTCTCCTTCTTACAAATAGCACCACTTTGTCAATCTACAAGAAATATTGAACCTCTATGCACAGGCTCATCCCTTTTCCCTGGTAAATATGCGGGTTTTCCTCGGCCCCACCAAACCCGAATCTCTGATCAGCTTCATAGTAGTCTCTTCTTCATTCTGTGCTGTTTTTCTACTCGTGTCGATACTACTGCTACGCACTGGTGATCTGGTCGATGTCCGTTCTTCATCAGAATATGTATCTGCGCCGACCACTCTCCATCATGTCGTTTTTGGTCTCGCTGCCACCATGCGTTCATGGCCTGAGCGGAAGGACAATGTCAGGCTATGGTGGAAACCCGGTCAAGCGAGAGGATGTGTGTTCGTTGACAGCCTTCCTCCTCTTGAACACCGTACCAACAACGATACTTCTGATCTCCTTCCTCTCTGCGTCTCCCAAGATACTTCTCGTTTTCGTTACACTTACAGGGGTGGTCTCCGATCAGCAATTCGAGTGGCACGCGTTGTTGCAGAGACTGTGGCTCTGAATCATTCTAATGTGAGGTGGTATGTGTTTGGGGACGATGACACAATTTTCTTTCCCGAGAATTTGGTCAAAACACTGTCAAAATATGATCATCGGCTTTGGTACTATGTCGGCACCCACTCCGAGATTTATGAACAGAATCGTTTGTATGGTTTTGGAACGGCTTTTGGCGGAGCAGGCTTCGCAATCAGTTCCTCTCTCGGAAAAGTTTTAGCGAAGGTTTTTGATTCTTGTATAGAAAGATATCCCCATCTCTATGGAAGTGACGGGAGGGTCTCCTCTTGCATCACAGAGCTTGGCGTGGGCTTAACAAAGGAGCCCGGATTTCATCAGGTACGAATTCAATTGAAAATGCTGAAAGTATGAAATTCTATTTCACATTTGATTTGCTGGGAAACTTTAATTTATTTCCCCACAAGGTCATCTTTTATCCTCTCATGAATCCTCTTTTTTTTCATTTGCGAATGGAACCGAATCAGGTTGATTTGCGGGGAAATCTCTTTGGTCTATTGGCCGCACATCCGGTGACTCCCTTGCTATCCTTGCATCATTTGGATCACACAGATCCGATATTTCCCAACATGACCAGAAAACAAGCTCTGCATCATTTATTTAGAGCCGTGAATGTTGATTCCCAGAGGATTTTACAGCGCACAGTTTGTTATGACAGGTGGTTTTCATGGACGATTTCAGTGTCATGGGGCTATGCTGTTCAGGTGTTCCCGAATCACATGTTTCTTCCAGATGCTCTGAACGTTCAACCAACGTTCAGGCAGTGGAATAGGAGAAATGTTTTGTCAGGAGTATATACTTTCAACACCAGAGAACTTCACCCCGATCCGTGCAGAAGACCCACCATTTTCTACTTTGACAGTGTGTCTTCTGGTAAGGATGGCAGAATCATCACCCGTTATAAGAAATCCTTTCAAAACTGCTCTTATGATGCAGCGTCGCCCAGGAAACTGGAAAAGATCACAGTTTTAACGAATAAACTCGACCTTGACGTCAAACAGGTATTCTTTATGTCATCACATGTAGATAGATAGAGCTACAATGACGAGATGACTTGACAGAGAATTGTCATTTTCTTAAAAATTTTGGTATTCAGTTGCAGGCTCATAGAAGGCAATGTTGTGATGTGTTGCGGTCTAGCCCTCGTGATTTAATGGAGATTGCAATCAGAGACTGGAAAGACGAGGAATTGATCTATATGCACTGATGTACCGTAACAGAAGTATATCGAAAAACCGTTTTTTTTTTTTTGTTGCATGCTCAGGGTTAAAGGACATCATTGCGGAGAGATGGTTATAATCTAAAGTTCGAATTTTTACAGATACAGGTATAAAGTTGAAGTTTAAAGTCATTAAAGAAGCCAGGGAAAAGAAAGATGACGAACGAATAAGAAACCATGTGAAAATGCTTTATTTGTACTCAAACGTTTGTTTATTTTTAGAGCATGCGTAAATATTCGGCAATGTAGCTGTTAGTTAAGGCAGCGTGATTCTGATATTTTTATTCTGATCATGTGTCGCCGCATTACGTGAACCCAAGACGGTTGGCGGGTTACTCCAGTAAAGCTTTGTGTGATTTTTCTCTAGGGGTAACAAATTGACCAACAACACCACATTTTATAAATCACTCATTTAAATTATATTCTCATTTCCTCTTCTAGATAAATAAATAATTCCCGGTTCCACAATGATCTGGCTCTCCCTTTGCGTTTTAAGTACGTAAGCTATAAAAAAACAATTTAAATTAAATATGCACTCTTAGTCTTAGTCATGTTTATTATCATTATTTATCAAAATATATACTTATATATAGCTGTCAGTGCATCATACAATTTTGAGCTTTGTGCGATGTCTGGACCCGAGATCTATAAAAGGAAGGCATGCAAATTCTTAAATTTAAGAGGGAAGCTTGCTCGTGAGGACCAAATGATAACCATATCTTAATATTAAGGACATCAAATTCGCATTGCTGGCTAGTAATGATTAATTTGACTTGTAAAATGATGACCAAAATGTTATTGCAATAGGTATTGCATAAATTTATAAAGTCTTGCTTTAGTGTCTGTAAGTTATTTTTCATGTTGAAACACTTGGATCCTAAAAAAATTTATAAAAATTGTTTTTCATAATTTATAAGAGGTTTTGTTAACTTCATACGATTTTTTTAATTCTTTTAAACTAGCAAGGTTTAAAACCTGTACTGTTATGTACATGGGATATGAATTGGATCCTTAATTAAAAGAGTTACCTCGTGGCATGAGAACTTTTGTTTCTGGCGATTGAGATTCACAGTATTGGTAACAAATGTCAATTACCAATCCTTTGGTTTACCACAAGATTTCAAATTTTTTGTTTTTATGATAACAAAATCATGTTGACTTTATTCTAGGCGCTGTCGTCACTTCGCATGACACCTTTCATTCTTGTTGATTGATAACAAAACTATTCACTAAATTCATTTTAGGGTTGAGGGACAAAAATTTTTCAAAAGTTTTTTTTTTAAAAAGTAGTTAGTATCCTTACCTTTCAATTGGAGTAATGTAAAGTATGAAAAATGAAACAATCTCACCCTGCCGTTAAATGACTTAGATCTAAAGTTAGTTGATGACTAATAAAATCTTCCTTTGACCAAAAATAGGACATGTGACATACTGAGATGGATAAATAAAAAATTAAAAAAAAAAAAACAACATCCTCACTCTCATCTCTCTCCTTCTTCCATTCACACTCTAGTTTGAAGCTAACCGCTGACCAAGGAGCTTGGCCACAAGTTCGACGGCGAGATCATCGAGCGGTTGCTCTAGTAGGCAAAGCCCATTTTGATCACCACTCTAAGTCAAGATTCTTTAGCCAACTTTGAGTCCACTCTTCCTCACACTTTGCTTTGATTTTTTTCCTTAGATCTAGAAATGATTGAACCAAACAACATAAAATCTTGAAGCATCAAAACCATATTTCGTTGAAATTGAACTAAAAACCTAGAAATTGAAAATCAGAAAACCTAGAAGCACAACACTTGTGCACCCCAGAAGCTAAAGATCTGGCCCCGCACTCTAGCCACCTTCCTTGGTTGGATGAGATCGCTGGAACACGCAACTTGAGTACCAGATTTGCTCTGAAGTTGAATGACAGGGACATTTAGCCAGTGCCCTCATGGGTTTAGCCTTAGACGGCAATGACAAAATGACCATCATGCACACGCTGTGATTGAAGTCAGAGCGTACCCAATATGACTTGATGCTCGCGTTGTACCACCTGACATTAGTCCAAAGCAATCGGGTCGACTAGCTAGATATGGATCAGAGCAACAACAGATAGTGACTTCCCATCGATGATGGCATAAGGCTCTTTGTGACAGACGACGAGTTTAAGGCGACGACAATGGAGAAGAGAAATGGATGAAATTTTTAGACCTTGCACGTTGAAGAGAAGGGGATGATTTCGAAGGTGGGAAATTTTTTCAGTTGCTAATCTCGATAGTGAATTAGCAGAGGTTGCAATGGAGAGAGTTACAACCTACCTTTTGAATATGAAACTATGGTACAGGGGGTTTAGGGGGTGGACGAGTAAAGAGAAGGGAAAGAGGTGAGTGATTCGACAAAAAAGTCAAAATTATGGTCAAACTGACGGTCTCACTAATGACAAGGCGAGGTTGCTCCATTTTTCACACTTTCCGGATGACATTGCCTTAACTAAAAGTTAGGGATACCCGCTAACTAAAAGTTAGGGATACCCGCTACTTATTTTAGAAAACTTTTAGAATATTTTTACTCCTTAACCTTTTATTTTATTGACTTCAAAGCATTGTGCATGATCTGATTAAGTGATTATAGGCTAATTTATAATTATGAGTGGTTCATATTATCTAAAATAGTTAAAAACTTTACTTTATTGACGAGGGCAACTACCCCATATATGGAAAGATTATTTAACTGTCTTTATATAGCACTTTATGATGGGCATCAAGGGAGTCAAAATTCAATATTTAGTACTTTTATTTTGTTGTAGGGTATTAGAGGACTAATGATTAGATTCAAAATTAAGAGGACAAAAGAATAATTAAATTCATTAATTAGGGATATCCTACATGATCAAGAAGTCTTAAAAGCAAGTGAAATTCTAGAAGACCCAAAAAAGAATCTTAACATATAGGGCATAATGAACATACTCAAGCTTGTGAGTCTAATTAGTTCAATGAATATTCTTTTTTAAATTTATAAAATTATTTTATCTTATTTTAAATTCAAATTAAAATTTAGAAAAATTAGTTTATCTTGTTTAGTTTCAAAAGATAGAATATACCATTAAGAATATGATCTATCCATTAGGAATTCTAGATTAGTTAGGATTGCATCATTTAGATTTTTAGAAATCTATTTAAGCAATTAAGCAATTTGTATTTTTAAAAGTATTGGTTGAATTTATGAATTAAATTTTTTTTAATTATGAGAATATTTTGATTAGTGTTATTTGTTATGAGATAGTAGTGTTGTGAAATTTTGAATTATCATGTGCGGAGAAAAACCAGAGATTATGATCAAAGAATCAGAACCAACGTCACGACACCTTTTGAAGAGCTTACGTGGAACGAAATTGTGACCAACCAATGAGACTAGTGCTTGATGGGATTAAATCTCGCAACGTCTTTAATGGGAGGACCGGCGAAGGATATACTAGTAGTACTGAAATGTTAAAAAATGAAAAGAATTGTTGTTTTTTATCAAAAAGGAATGGGATCGAAGCCCATTAATAAATCATAATCACTGGTAATAAAATCATAGAAACCTTAGTTGTCAAATTTTGATCCCGTGGCTTGTTGGAATGAAATAGATTAAGAAGATAAGAATAAAAACGAACTGACTTATTCTATCTATCATGTTAAATATAAAAAAAAACTCAATATTATTTTTGATCATATTTATAAGACAGGAAGAAAATATTTTTTTAATCCTATTTATAAGTAACATTATTAAATTTTCATCACAACTTTCTCCTTTTATCATTTATGAAATGTTGAAGAAATAAAATATATTATTAAAATATTTATATTTAATAAGAATAAAGTTTATAACTTTTAAAATTTTTAAACAGAACTAATAAATTTTAAAGTTTTTTTATTTTAGTGAAATATATAGAAATGATTTATAAATACTCTCTTATCAAGCATTAGTAACTAATTCACGATTTTAAAAAAATATTAATTAAAACTTTAATTTTTAAAAAATTTACATCTTTTCAATTTTACCCTCATTAAATACCCCATATAAGTACTGTGATAATAATAATTAAAATTTTAATGCATCATATTTTTTTAAAAAAAGTAATAAATAAATTAGGGGTGTAGTTGAAAAAATAATTATAAAAGTTATCTAATACCTTATATTTTGAATCAAATAAGTCTTTTAAAAAATGTATTATATTGTGATCTGAAAGAAGTATATCAAATGTGAGAATTACTTTACCTTACACCACAAATCTTAAGCATTACAACTCTCAACTTCAGGGATTGAATTACCCATATCCTTTCATAAACATTGTTGACTAATCTCTTCTATACATCTTGATTATTTATTGTATATATTTTTTCGGCATAAATCATCCAATATTTTGAGATATCTTGAGTTCATTGCTCGCCTCAAACTAATTCAGAGCCCTCGTGAGGAGACCTTGCGGTGGTAGCAAGGTATTGATGGGATGAACTCTTTGAGGTCAAGTTAATTATCGCGTCTGTTACTCTTCAGGATTCAAACCTTACCCTGAGAAATGCCGGTAGTAGTCTTTATCAACTCTACCAAACGTCCATTGGTTATTGTATATTTATTTTTATTTTTTAAAAAAGTTTTTTTTCTTCCTAGCAAGCAAACAGACCGTAGAGTGATGTAATTGGGCCTAATACCTGTCACTAATCACGACTCTTCCCTGCTCTGTTTTATTCGTCCATGGTCACCAAACCCCACACGTTCGGCTGATAATTTAGTAAGGCTTTATTTTTCGGGCTATTATTTTTTTGACCAAAAAAACCAAAGTTTATTCATCACCAAAAAAACAATTACAAACATACGTAGTCGAAGTCCAAAAAAACACTCAAAGACAACTAACAATATTTTTTCGTGCTATTATTAAGAGCCGCATTTTGTGACTAATCATAAGTATTCTAGAACTAACATTTCATGCATGTAATTGACTCGGAATATTTTATAAACACATTATTATGCATGGTCGCCTAAAAATTACGGCGCAGGTATACCCATAGAAAAGAAATCTTTTTTTTTTTCCTTCTTAAATCCATGATTGTAACTTACTCTTTCAGGCTAGAGTATAAGCATTGATAGTTAATTTATGATTCTAAAAAAAATTAGTTGAAACCTTAATTTTTTTTAAAAAATATCTTTTCAATTATACTCTTATTAAATACCTTATACAAGTACTTTAATAATGATAACTAAAATTTTAATGTATTTTTTAAAAAAGAGTAATAAATAAATTAGAAGTATAGTTGAAAAAAATAATTATAAAAATTACACAAATAATATATTTTGAATTTAGTAAAGCTTTCAGAAAATGCCGCTATAGTATAATCCAGAAGGAGTAAATAAACCTATAATTTCTCCCCACAAAAGGTGTGCTCATAAACTGCACCATTAGTGGTTTCATTCAATTAATAATTTTTGCCTAACCCTAACCAATTATAATATTTTCAAATAAGTAGCCACTTATCAAAAAGAATAAATAATAGAATAGGCTACGGTATAGTTTTGATCCTGTAGCTTTATCTAAAGTTTCATTTTGATCCCATAATTTTATAAAATATATTTTCAGTCCTTTAATTTTCATACTGCTGGTTTCAAGTGATTATTTTTTTGAGCCAATAATTATTATTTTAAAAAACAAAACTTAATATGTCAAAATTAAAAAATATTTTGTCAATATTTTAATGTTTAATATAAATTTTTTTGAAATGAAACTAACAGTACTAGGTTGAAGAGTTGAAAATATATTTTTATAAAATTAAGGAAATGAAACCTTGAATAAAATTAAAAAATTATAATAAATAATAGTACTTAATTTATTCTGAAACGCACGAGTTTGACCAAGTGGCGCGATTAAGCACGCAGTCCCCTTTTGACATTGTCTGGTAAAAATCAATATTAGTATAGTGAGACAGAAATTTTTCTTATACGCACTGAAAGATTAAAGGATCTTGCCTATAAATACACAGCGGCTTTGTGAACCACACAATCATCACCAAAACACAACCAAACTGATTCATCACAATCTACATATTCCTTCCAAAATGTCTTCCTCAAAGCTCTCCTCCATTGTTATCCTCCTCAGCTTTGCTCTCCTTCTCCGAACTTCTTTTGGAGCTGACACTACTCTCTTCCATTTCTGTTCCAGCTCTGGAAACTTCACTGCCCATAGCCCTTTTGAACTGAACTTGAAACGGCTCATAACCCTTCTCAACTACAAAACCCCTCCGACTGGCTTCGGTCTCGGTTCTGTTGGCAGACTTCAGAGCCAAACAGCATATGGCCTCTCCCTGTGTCGTGGTGACGTCTCTGCCTCGGACTGCAGAACCTGTGTTTCCGAGGCAAGCAGTGAAATCCGCAAACTGTGTCCATACAACAAAGGAGCCATCATATGGCATGACAAGTGCATGTACAAGTATTTGGACGCCGATTTCTTTGGTCAAGTTGACGAAACAAACAAGTTCTACATGTGGAACTTGCAAACCGTCAGTGATCCCGCCACTTTCAATTACAAGACAAAGGAATTGTTGAGTCAGCTTGCCTACCAGGCTTCTGTGAAGCCTAAGATGTTTGCAACCGGAGAGGTAAAGATTGGAGAATCGAAGACTCTTTATGGGTTGACACAGTGCACCAGAGACCTTTCTGGCAATGATTGCAAGAAGTGTCTTGACGATGCAATCAGTGAACTTCCAAATTGTTGCGATGGAAAACAAGGAGGCAGAGTTGTTGGGGGAAGCTGTAACTTCCGATACGAGATTTACCCATTTGTCAAGCAGTAGATCAGCTTAACCTGCTTGGGAATAAAGATCTTTAGATCTATACTAAATATAAAGCAATGGTCATGACACCAATAATAAACTTGTGCTGATCATGATGCACAAGTTGCAAGCTACAACTTACGTATCCTCTTTGTATTTGTAGCACATGAGATCGTTGTTCAATGAAATGTATGTGTTCGTTATTTCATTGATACTTGTTTTAATTTGTTCGTGAAAATTCCATTTTTATGATGATCGGATCACCAGTATATAAATGCAACTTCGTAAACAAGACCTTAGAGATGTAGACAACGTAATTCTCGAAAGTTTCAACATTACATGCTAACTTGCCCCGTGAAAACAAAGGATGCTATATTTTCTGTAGTATACTAACATATTCCCGCTGAAATTTACATTTTGGTTATTGTAATATATTTGACCATGCGCCTCTTGGGCTCGTGCCATTTGGCCAGCAATAATTATGGTCAACTAGCTATGCAAATTCGTATATTTACGTTGTATACACTTGCAAGTGTTTCAGACCGAACAAATCTATCGTCATCACATGTATCGATAACAAGAAAAAGGAAAACTCTTTTCTTCTTAATTTTATTAGAACATATATATAGACTCATACGCGTCCTTTAATTCGTAAGTGGATGTTTTGTTTGTAAGTAGATCAGTCCATGGTTGGCTAGAGAAAAAATGGCGTAGAGCTGAAGGTGAATTTTTGTCCCCAGTTTAATTTTACAAAGTCTAAAATAAGTTTAAAAATCAACAGTTTTTTAAAATAAAATTCAAAATTTCTGGCTGGCTATCAAGCTTCCAACAGTTAGCATATATAAGTGCCTTTTCTAGAAGCTCTCTGGAGTCATAGTTTAGCAATTCCTATCCTATAATACAGAAGGCGCACGCAAGATGGAAATGAAGAGTTGCAATCACTTTAAGTTCATATAGAACCAATGTCGTTAATTACTAATTAGTCAACAAATATGGGGCGATTTTACACTTAATTTAGAAAAAATCTCAAAATCTTTACGTGGATATCGAACTTGAATACTTTATAATTATATCAGATGAAATATTAAATTACTAAAAATTTTCTCCAATATTTAACAATCAATTATTTTCTTATCCACTAATCTTAACTACATCGGCATATTTGAATTATAAGTATAACGGCAGAAAAAATGGAATGGGTTGGAGGAAACGCTATGCATGAGATCCAATGATGATGATAGGGCTTTGCGGAGATTGTTGGGATTAATCTATTGTTGCTAGTTTTGCATTTTGTTTATCATTATTTTTGTTGAATTATGAAGTGTGAGTGAACTTAATTTGATATGAAGAGGAGTCCTATATTAAATAAAATTGAACTTGAAAAGAAGTATATAAGTGAAAAAGATATATATATATATATATATAATCTAATACCTCAAACTTTTGGATTAAGATGTGATATCATATTTCCTTATATGTGTTTTATTATGAAATCATTAAACGCCTAGCTATGTTCTCACTTCTTAAATATTCCTTGGGCCAACAAGTTCATGTTTCATAGGTTTTTATTGGTTCACTGTTGATTATTATTTCTTTGAAATAAATTATTAATATTAACCAACTACATTTTCATTTTTTTTCCCCATTTTTGACAAACCTAGAGATAACTCCTCTTGAATCATCATGCTCCGGAGTGGCAATATAATGTCAATTGCCATAATGTTTTATTGTTGGGCTGATGACGTCATCTAAGTAAATTAAAATTAATTTTACACGCAATATATAATACAGGAAGCTTCAAACTTACTTGCAAAATGGAGCAAAGAATTATCATCGAATTGAATTGAATCGAATTGTGTCATAATTGTGCCATATTCACATCACAATATCACATACAAAAAGCTAGTCGAGAGGTGGACGAAGCGCTGATTTTGATTAAATCCGTTTAATGAAATAACAGCGAGAAGCAGCCCGGTTTTGACATTTCTGGCTTTACTGGCTTGACTGAGCACTGGTCATTGCTCATCATTGCCAGGAATAGTCAAAAGAAGCTGTCAACCTTTTTGACTTTTCCTCAAAGACAAGGTCACATTTTATTATTTTTCACTATAAAGTATAAATACATTCTGCCATATCCCGTTCCACATCTGCTAAATAAAAAGGGAAAGAAACAAAAACCAAATCAAACTCATCTATCATATTCTTTAATTCAGCATGTCTTCCTTAAACATTCCCGCCACTTTTCTGTTGCAGTCCTGGCTCTCCTTTTCAAACCTTTCTCTGAGAAGAGACCCACGCTAAAACGTGTCTACTGTGTGTGTGTGTGTGTGTACTTGATATGTTGACAGGTAAAAAAGAAGTTTTGTTTAGGCAAACCTGTGTTTTGATGAGCTTGAGTGGTACGACGATGTCACTTTGTTATTTTGAAGGGGCTCCGGATTTTGTGGAGATTAGAAAATTACTTCTAATTCATTAACACTAATTAAGATTACTCCCATAGGAGAAACTTGTCTCACCATTATTAAAATAAAAGACTGATAATGGACTGATTAATTAGGCATTGACAAGTAATTGACACGCAAAAATAACATTTTCATCAAAATATCAACAAAAGTTAATCAACCTTAATTACAGACCGAGACCTTATATACACCCAAATTAAACATGCTATTCTAGCAGTGACGTCCTTTATCTACAACAGAGTTGATAAAAAATCATCATCCTCCGAATCAGGTTGCTGCATCTTCCAAGTACCATCAGGCTGTTGTACCAATCCTTTGTTTTCGTCTATTCTCCAAGACTTGGGAATGTGATACTCGTCCTTCAGAGCATCCAAGCTCTTGTTAACCAGTGCAATATCCCTTTTGACCTCTAATTTGAATCCTCCTTTCCTCCCTTGTGTTCCTGCTACTCCATGCAAGTAAGCCTCCAAATTATGCCACAGTTTGAAGTTGACGCCCCTCGGATGCTTCAAGAAGTTGGATTTCATGATGTCGATTTCTAACTCTTCTCCCACTTCTGCATAATGCAAGAGAGGCAGCCTTGGAACAATATCTTCTTTATTCCGAATACGCAGAGTTCGAAGATCTTTTTGAGCAGTGAAAAACTTGCAAAATTTTGAATCTCCAACTCGAGGACTGGCAAATACAAATGCTGTGACTAGACACGCTTTTTGAGATTCATCGTCTCCTTGAATGTTAAAGCGATTAGCCACTATATCCAATGCATTTACTGTTGCAAGTGCTGCGCCTAAACTATGACCAGTTATTGTTATGCTAATCTCTTCGTCCTTAAATTTGTTCACGAGTCTTCTAATCTCAGTTAATACCTGCACAGTGATTAAAAACCCAAAAGTTTAATTTAAATTAATAAAGTCAAGCTCTATTTAAAATATAGAATCTTGAAAGAGAACAAATTTATCATGCTTGGAAACTATTTGTCAACCACCTTCCAAAAAGGTTCATATAAATTAAAATATATCTTTCTTACCTGGGTTCTGACGCTATTTTTGTTGAAGACTGATGAGTTTTTTGCTGTATAAATGGAATAAAAACCCTGGTGTACTTTACAATTAACTTCATGACCAAAAATATATGGAGCGTCACCCAGAGAAAACTGAAAATCCTTAATCCATTCCTTGGTTTGATCGGTTCCTCTCCAAGCAATTACAATGTCCCTCCTCCCTAACACGGCTCTGCCTTCATCAGTGGCCACAGCAACATAGCCTATCCAATTTGATTCTTCAACATCACCAAACATAGGAATATCAATTTCTAAGGTTGCATATAGGAACTTCGTTACCTCGTATTTGAAAGGATTCCCGTTTTCCAAACCCACCTTGGAAAAGAAATCTCCTTTCCCATAACGGCTCCTTCTTGCATATTTAGATGTTTTGTCAGAGACAAAAGCATCATAAGTAGCTTGAGCCATTTCTCCATAGTGTATTATGTACTTGCGAAGATCAATGTCAAGTGGGTCGAGCAAATCCTTCCAATGATGTTCACCGCTAAGTTCTCTCCAGTTAGTGGCAATGCTACCTGCACGCCTCACCATTTCTTCCTCTTCTTCAAGTTGATCATCCACCTTCTGAGGGTGCAAGCTTTTCCCGGTAATGCAGCTCTTCTTCTTCTTCTTCCTCTTCCTCCTCTTCCTCCTCTTCACGTGTTCAAATAAACTGGTTTATGAATTATGTAATGAGTTCTGGCTTCTGATGATGAGAAGGCTTGGTTTCTGCATGTTTATATTATATACGTGAAACTCATAATCACATCATGCCTGCCACGTACCGTTTTTACCCTCATTTGGAAAGTATATTTGTTAAGTTTTATTTATTATAAATGAAAATTTCTAATTTACATTCTTTCCTATTTTGCTTTTGCTGACGCACGACGTTATCCAAATCTTTTCATCCCTGGTTGATTTTCTTTACCTCCTAGGTTGATTCAATTAGACTGTTTCCTATTTTGTATTTAGTTCGGCTTGTGTACTTGCTTATTTCTGTTCAATTGTATCCTTGGTTTTTGAATTTTATCCCTGTTAATCCTTACAAAATTAACCCGTAATTGTTGCTATTTTTATTCGGATCGTAAAAAATAAATACATATAAGAAGGATCGAAGTTATAGGCTAAATATTTAAAGTTTTCAAAAAAGGTGAAATTTCTAATCTGGTCTGCTAATAGCATCTCCCATAATCTCAATTATAGAGGTGACGGATTTTGTGACAAATTTTTAACTTGAACAGAAAGTTTTGCGTATCATTAATTAATAATCATTCATATGTTAATAGGACCTGGGTCCCTCTTGCAGTGATTGATGGGCAGTTTCCTCTAGCTGGGCCGAAATCCAAGAATGGGCCACACAAGGCATTTGTCAATTCAGCAGACTATAGGTTTGGGCTACATTAAAGAAGAGTCCCACAAACCGAAGCCGAACGAAATTATCGTCAGGCTCTTCAATCCGGGGCTTCATTCGCCATCTTGAAGTAACTCAACCTCTTCAAATTACGCTTTCACCACCTTCAGTACTGTTGCTAGACCTCGGGTCCAACCAAAATAATATTCACCAGGTATATATGTGCTAGCTAATTATGAAATATGACCTTTGATTATTATTTTCATTTATATTCACCAAGTATATATGTGTACATACAAAATAATATTAGTCTCACATGGATTAGGTGTGACACTCGGTTCGGTAGAGCCTCGGAATAGGTCTCCCACCTTAGTAATCTGTCACGTGGATTCCTCCCTGTCATGAAGAATTTTTCCTAGCTTGTGCTGGCAGATTTTGATTGTTCACACATTTGTTGAAAATCCAGTGCCCTTTTTTTAACTATAAAATGCCAGTGGTCGAGGCCGCTTAGTTCTGGTAGTGGAACTGATGATCTAAATAATTCACAGCACATGTTGACCCAAATAAAAAATAACAATTCTCAAAATATAGATGTATGAGAAGGTAAAACCTGAGTTGTCGTCGATCCAACTACTTAATTTTCATTTTTAAAAAAAAAAACTGTCTATCTGAATCAACCAACAGCCCTGCCACCTTCTCCTTCCTAGATAAACAGGCAAAATGGAAGGGATAGGGAATCCTGTAGGAGTTTCAAGACGGACAGGGGAAAATATTCAAGTGCATTCCTATTAAAAAAATGTATCATTTGCATGACCATACCAACTCCAATGTCTCCATGATTGAATTTGAATCACAAGCGTCCATCATCATTCCTCTAAAGGCCCTGCACGATCCCCTTGACCTCGCTCTATATATACTCTACCACCGTGAGGACGAGGTCGCAATTCAATCACATCTCTTAACATTACACTTTCCAATCATTTCTCATAACATTACACTTTCCAATCATTTCTCATATCCAAGCAGTTAGCAACTATGGCTGCCCTTGAAACCTTAATCAGAGTATCATTGGTGGCAGCTATGATCATCGAAATCACCATGGCAGCAAATCACATTGTTGGAGGACCTAATGGCGGGTGGGATACAAATACAAACTTTCAAGAGTGGGCATCATCCCAAAACTTCTCAGTGGGAGACAAACTCAGTAAGTCATCTGCATGCTTCCGCCACCAGGAGTGGTTTTATAAATTTCTTAGACAATTTCTTTTGATTAAACAGATCTTAATTTGTTTTGTATTTACACTGTTACCCATATATGTGTGCAGTTTTTCAGTATCCACCTAACCATGACGTGGTTGAAGTTACAAAGGCAGACTATGACTCCTGTCAGACAACCAACCCAATCCAGTCCTACAATGATGGCGACACAACCATCCCTCTCACTTCTCCAGGCAAGAGATACTTCATCTGTGCAACATTAGGACATTGTGGCCAAGGTATGAAGATTGAAATAGACACTCTTGCTGGTGCAACTTCTTCCACCTCTCCAACAGAATCTCCCTCACCTGCGGCTTCCCCAATGATTCCTGTTGCTCCCTCTGCTGAGTCCCCAGATTTTACCAATTCAGCAGCTGAATCTCCAGAATATGTTCTGGCAGCACCCAGTCCGCTGTTTGACACGCATCTAGAGAGTCCTGCATTCTCCCCAGTCATTCCTTCTACTGAGAAGTCACTGGACCCATCAACTGCATCAGCAAAGAAAGGAAACTTCCAGGCCTTCATTACAATTGTGTCTAGCTTTCTATTGGTGCTTTTAGCCTCCTAAAGATAGGATAGATCTAAGTCTACCACTGCCACTGAGCTACTTGTGTGTGAGCTTTTCTGTTTCTTTCATTATTTCTGTGGTTAAAATTTCAGAGAGGTGTGCACGCTTTATTAATTGACAGAAAATGATATCTCGTCAGTGATTCAATTTGATGTTATAGCCTTATAATGCATCCGCCATTTGGCTTATTCTACCAGGAAAATCAAGGAAGCATTCAAGCATGACAGCCAAGACATAAAACACTCCCTTATTATATAGTTTAGATCGGACAAGCGTGGATGTAATCAGTTTCCACAGTAGACTTTCCACCAATATCATCGTCTAACTTTAGGAAACGCACTTGGACATAGTTGACAACTTGGACACAGACATGATATAGTGAAGTGCACAGACACAAATGTGATGGAAACTAACAAACCACTTTAAGCGACAGGAGGGCGAAGCAGATGATCCCGAGATGTATCAACCGCAGCAGGTGGCAAAAACTGCCACATGCCGATTCCAGGATAACCAACAAATGGTATCAGCTTGTGGCTGGCAGTTTGTCCTTGAGCACTAAATGCAGCAGAAGGATGAGAAAGATAGGTTGGCTGTGCATTCATCCCTTTGACCCGTTGCTCCAGCTTTTCTTTATCCATCTTCAGCCTGTTCTTTTCATCACGAAGCTCGTTCTTCTCTGCCTGAAACGAAATAGAGATTTAATTCACCCAAACAGAAAGGATCCCCATATTTCCAAATATTTACGCCAAGAAATTTTGATATTTTCACCTTCAGTTCCTTGATTTTTTCAAGCAATTCATCGTTTGTTTCCTTCAGCTTCTGGGCTTCAGTTCGTAATTCTGTTAACATTCGAACTGCATCACTTAATATAGCAGTCTTATCCATCTTGGGCAGCTTACCAGGCTCCAAGATAGAACTCAATTCCAGGAACCTTCAAATCATGCCAAATTCAAGACATGAGATTTAGAAGACAAAATTTAATCAGACAAGATGCAGAACAATAGCATGCCTCTCATTCAGTCTATCCCTCCTAAGTTTCTCACGGCATGCCTTGGAGCCAGATGCACATGATTCAGACTTCAACCTGAGATAACAGTAGCAAGTGGATAAGAAAATATTTTGTGTTTGTTTGAGAGGGAGAAAGAAAGGGAGAGAGAACGGAAGCAAGAGATAGACAGAAGAATGACAAGAGGACGCATTAATAAAATGTCTCAAGTTAAAGCACCTGCTCATTCCACAAATAATGTATCAACTGAAAGGGGGGAAAAACATGCTGCATTTACTTGAGAAATGTGCAGGCCAATGTGACAACGTGTTGCTAACAGTATCCAGATATCACGTGGATCCAAATGAGGCGAAATTTACAGGTTAGGTTCATTAGCTGACAGAAGACAAAGAATAACAACAGAGAAATATACTCCATCCTTCCTGACATTAGGTGACCAAGTTTTTGCATAATTTGCACCATCATCTCCATATACTTGAAGAGTTACAATTTACAAATCAGTAACATTTAGACCCCTCCCACGCTTTTTTTTTTTCTTCCTAATTCTTGATTCCATGTAAACTATTAAAACTAGCAGGAATGCCACTGATTCGAGATGTACACTAGCAGAGCATAATCTTATTGGGATTCTTGTTATCCTTAATAGTCTCTCTGATCCTCTGCTCTGCTTCTGTGAAAAGCAGCTCCTTTATGGTCTTCATTTCCTATGTCTAATCCCAGTTGGGTGGCGTTAGTAATTAAAGGCGTGCGTTTTTAAATTCACTTTATGAAAAGGTTTTTCACTTAAAGACACACCTCCATATAAACCATGCATTCTTCAATATTAAGGGATGCAAAAAATCTAATCAAATAAAGATCTAGTTGGAGCTTGCAAGCAATAGGATATTCATTTTAAATAGTAAAAAATTGAACACATTATAGTGTACTGTGTAGTTGAGAAATTGTGAAGGTACAGCACTACAGTAAACCCTGTTTACAAAGCCAAAAACGAAAGACATTACCGCTTTGAAGGGCCACTTTCCAGGAAAGTCGAATTCTCCAGTGAGTAATCCAGGTCCAAGCTGTACATATGAAGCAATGAAGAGGACAACATAATATAAACAACAAACGCTGCTATACGATAGTCAAAGTCAACTGCTACACCCAACCCTTCCTAAGTCACATATTACAACCCCCCCTTGCAAATCTTTCATGTTCTTCATTCAACAACCTGCACTATTCATGAAACATGACGCCCTTTTTGCCAACGCATTGCGATTCACAAATAAAAACTCCATGTACAACGAATGTTACTTCAATTTTGCAGAATCCAGGTCCATTTTTTCTGATGTATGACAGAAAATACTTCGCATGGTCCTTTAAGGAGAAAACGTGTCATATTGCTATAGTTGCTGCAGCAGTCAACGGACAGCATTATCCCTAAGGCTTAGGATAGTTATCTCCCCCCCCCCCCCGGGGGGGGGGGCGCGTAACAAGTGCCTAAAAATTTAAATGGTGCACTATTTTCTAAATATTCTCATTAAAAATGTTTTCGGAGAAAGTCACAGTCTAAAGATGATATCTTCTAAATTCACGCCATTTCTCATAGAACAAATAGGACACATGCTACTTTGGCTGGACAGTTGAACCCAAAATCACCATAAAAATTGCATAATCCGGAACCAATAGAACCATGAGAAATTGTCGCAGCAGCAGGTTGATGAGAAAAACTAGTTCACATGTTTCCATCACAACGTAAAATAATAAGAAAATCTTGTTCGAACACAATTTTCATGCATGGTCCATAGAACCTAACAACTAAGTAATTAAAACTTCTCTCATTTTTGACATTTTTTTTTTGGACTGACCCAATTTAGACCATTGAAATGTTTCAAATCACAAGATAAATGATTACCGAGGTCTAAACAGAAAATCACCCCACAAGTATATTCATAGTTTTGGATTTTCTTTCAAATGCCAACGACCTACCAACCACCAAACCAACAGAGCATGGCACTTCATTTACCTATTGCAATAGTATCTTGTTGGAAGTAAGGAAGCAGCAGAAAAGTACGATACTTTGTAACAACAAAATGTATGAACTGATCATGCGAGAGAGTAGTTTGGATTTTGAGAAAGACTAGACCAACAAGCCAACGGGGGATAACCTTGAATTTACAGTAGCCATGGAAAATCCCACTTACATGGGCGTTCGTGGAAACCAAACAGGAAGTCAAAAAGATGCTATTACAAACCCACCTCGTATCGGAAGAACCGTGAAAAGTAGGAGACACCCAGTTGAAACCGCCAGAAGAGACGACCGGCAAATCAGCTCCGGCGACAGGGACGTCAAAGCCATAATCATAGAGCCAATTGGGGGTGTGTGAGGAGTCGATGTCCATCTCGCGAGTGAAAGCAGAAGAAACAGTGTGTGAGAGGATTAAAGCGCACTGAATAAATAGCGTAAGAATATAATACTTGGACTAGCAACATCACTTACATGCTCATTTCTTCCTTTGGGTCTAGTTTATTGGCTCTGGCCCCTAATTTACCGTAAAGAAAGGGGGAAAAATTGGGGTCGGTGACGGAAGCAGCAAGAGCGTGTGTCGTGCTCGTACAGTGCTTCATGGCCAATTGGCGATCCATACACTACACGCAGAGCAACGTAGCATCCAGCAAATGCTATCTCGTCCGCATGTTACGTGACCGATGATGCATTTGGGCTGGGCCCACTAACATTCGAACCTTTTCCGACCCACTTTTCCTCTACCAAGTGTAAAAAGAGAAGTTGATTTTAGTCCGACTAAGAAGTACTAACCACTTTTTTACGCACTAATTAAAAAAAGCAGTTAAATTAAACGTTGATCACTTTTCCTCTGCCAAATGTAAAAAGAGAAGTTGATTTTAGTCCTAGTAAGAAGTACTAACCACTTTTTTACACACTAATTAAAAAAGCAGTTAAATTAAACGTTGATTATAGATCATCATGCCAATTATTTAAAAAAATAAACAATGGCCGTATCGACGTAGGCGTCCAAATAGTAATAATAATGGGGTGATATTATCAACAAAAGTGATGAACCACTTAGCCCCGGCTACGCTGTGATGTCACACAAATGAAATTTCAATTTCAAGTTGGAGAACAAGGCGTGTTGCATGCCCTGTTAGGGTTGGGGTGACGTTGGATGAAATACTCAAAAATAAATGGACGCCTAAATAAATAATGGTGATGCTATTGCGGACCAAAATTTTGTCAATTTATCCGCGGAAATCTGCCCTAAAAATAATAATTTAAGAAACAACAAATGATGATCAACGATTATAAATATTCATAAATACTTAATAACCAAAATAATTAATAAGTCAATGATAATCCCCTTTTTTTAAATATCATTGCTTCTGTATTATTATATGACCGTCAAATAAACTTTCCTTTCAGTACAAAAGAAGGGATCAAAGCTTCTTCCAATTGAATATTTATTATTTCCTAAACGATCGAAGACGCCTAAGGTAAAGCGAAAAAGATGGCAGCAATTTTAATTTAAAAGGGGAGCTTATATTTCTCTCTCCATTTTTATTTAATTTTTAAATTAAATCTTTTTATTTTAGAATGTGTTTGGTTTGAGGGGAGGGAGAGGAAGGGTAAGAGAGGTGATGGAGGGAAGGGGAGGAGAAAAGAGGAGAATTTTTTAATGTTACCTTATTTAATTGTGTTGTAAGGGATGGAAGAATTTTTTAATAATCTTTTATTTGACTTAAGAGGAGAGAAAAAGGAAGTTAATAGTTAATTTACTATTATATTTTTATATATTAGTTTAATTTTTTTTAATTTTTCTTGTAGAAAATAACTATGCAACTTAATTTAAATTGCATGATTGTTAAAAATTCACTCTCATCCTGTCACATTGTTAATATGTAAAAAAAAAAATTAAACCAATAATTATAATAATAATAATTTTTTATAAAAAATAAATAACTAAATATATAATAAAATATGATGAAATGTAACTTTAAAAAAAATTTAATGAGGTTAGTTGAGGTTTGGGAATAAAGCATAATCTGATATGGAGGAGAGTTTTTTTTAATTATAAGTATACTTAAAATATTGAAAATTAAACAAAGGAAAAATAGCCAAAAAATTAACTCTTCTCCAAAAAAACTCTAATTTAAAGGAGAGAAATATGAGGAGAGGGTAAGAGTTATTTTAGCTTCTCTTTCCTTCAAAATTTCTCAAGGAGGGGATACCTTCCCACACCTTTCCTTCAAAAATTTTCAATTAATTACATCCATAAAAAGTATAATTTATTTTCAAATATTATACAAAGTTTATAAGTACGATTGATTATAGATGATCATAGACATTTTGGAAATATTTTCTTGCAGATCAGATTTCACAAGCAAGAAGAAAGTCAAATCCCTCTTTTAATACGAAATATAGAAGTAGTTTCGTGGCGAATTCTTTTTTTTTTTTTTTTGGCCGAAAAGTTTCGGACGAATTCGCCAGAAATTAATTTGTCAATGTGGCTTCGGAAGTGAACAAATTTTTGGAACTTGCGGGGAATCGATCCACAAACATGTTTCCTAAATTCAAGTCTTATGATGCCTACGGTGACTCCCAACTATGATACGCAGATACTAGATATATATCAAATACATAAGTATTTTTATTTTTAAAAACATACAATATGATATGTTTTCCAAACGTGCGTATATTTATAAAAATCATAAAAAATATAAAAAATATAATTTTAATTTAGAAAATATTCAAACTATATAATTTTACATAATAGGGATAGATTGTATATCTAGTTTGCTACTCCCAAAATTCCAACACCATCAAAGTCATATCATTCATCTCCAATAATATTTTACATCTTAAACATATCTTTTCTGTATTCTTAACTTTTTTTAAATCACAAGTTAATATAAACTCATAATCTAAAAGTGTCCGTTACATGTCAAAAATTAAAATTTTTTAAGTTAAAAATAATATTTCAATACTTTAAGAACACATATCCAAAAAAATCTGCAAATATCTCAAAAAATATCAATATCGCATGTGAGACAACTTAAAATATTAATGCTTTATAAACTCTCAGCATTAGTTGGTATATCTCAAAAAAGAATCCAACTGATCTCAAACTAGCCCTTAACAATGCAATTGTTTGACAACCAAATTGTTGGCCTCACACTTTTTAATGTACTATGATATGATTAAGCGTCCTTGCTCAAGGGAAAGCAGTCTATGTTTTATTTGATTTACTTCTTAATTATGTATTTACAAATGGCTATATCATCTTGATTCTTTATCTAAGATAAAATGACATATGAATTCTAAAAGTTCAATTTAATTACGATTATGTTTTAAAAAAATATTAAAAATAAATCATAAATATCAATCTTAGTTATACAATTCTTAGTTATAAATTGGGTTTTTGATTCCTTTAAATGTGCAACTATCTAAATCAATATTTAGAATTTATTCTTCAGTAAATTTTTAGTATCTAGTTACTGTTAAATTGAACTCCAAGGACTTAAATGTCATTTCTCCTTTGTTTAAAATAGTCATACTCACTATTTATTTTCCTAGCATAAATTTAAGAGAGAGTGTGTGTGTGCGTTAGTATCTGAATTCTTTATGAATAATTTTTGTAAAAAATATCAGTTAATTAAATTTAAAAATATTTTTATGCATCAAAGTTTAAAAAAAATTATGAAGAGGTAATTAGGTAAAACATTTATGCTTTTCCATTTTAACTATACAAATTAACACCATCACTATGTGCCAAGTGTTGCATGGATAATATATATACCATCAAATTAAGCATCATTAACGAAAATTTAATCATAAAAATACAAAATATAGTAGTTACCGCATGTACTTCCCAATCATAAACGTATCCAAGCCCCTGCTCGACTTAATTGAATGAGATTAGATAAAGTAGCGCCAACCTAGAATAGTAATAATTGTTAATAGCGTGTTTGCATGTCGGAACAGCTGTCGAGGTCAACTCTGAACTATAGTATCTCGTCACCTGCACTCATGTTACTACAATCTCATCGCTCGACCGACGTTTGGTGTCATAATCATCTGAACATATGAAGTACAGTTTTACATTCTTAACCCTGCTACAGAGATCTCAAAGCATAATTGGTACATTCTGTCAGATTATATACTATTGCACTTTTTTCTGTCAGATATTCTGATGTACAGCATTTTAATTTGTTGGTTCGGTGGATGATAAGGGATCAATTCCCTCAGATGAACTATGACATTATATAGTCTTTTTAAGCTTTTGTTTTCAGTATAATTAAAAAAAAAGTATTATAATTTGTTCGTTTTCATGGATGCAGCATTGTGGAAAAGGAATTCGCTGTTTTACGTCGAATGCATTGCCCACAACTTTTTAAGTATACTTAGTTCTAATATCCCTCTTCCAAAAAATGCAGAATAAGCTTACCCAATCAAGTTTTAACTGATAACAAATGATGGTAAGTATATATAAGAGTGTGCCTATGAAAACAGGAGTCTCCCTTAAAGGAAAAGGGGCATTTCCCCCCTCTTCATAGTACCAGCAATCAAATTTGGTGCCTTTAGGTAAGCACCAGGCATCAAAATTAAACGACGAGGACCAGATTTGCACTGTAAACACGAGCACTTTTTTACTTGTATACAGTTCTTGCTTTGTTGAGCACGTTTAAACTAGTTCCTTCATGCAGATATATAGGAACTGAAGAGGAGCTTAGGAGCCCCTCTGATTCACAAAATCAATCACGGGTATTTTCTGGCATTGCAAATTTTCAGGTGAGTCTAACCTGGCTTCATGGAAAATGTTTTTCCCCTTACCGCGACCGTGAATATCTTGAAGCGTCGAACTTTTGAAGTTGTGCAGAACTAAGACAAATATTTGAAGGAAGTTGAAAGAAGCAGCAGCAAGCACTGGCCATTCTGAATGGAGCTGCCAGATAGAACTGAGGAATACAATGAAGTATCGAAATCTATTCAGTTCTTCAAATCAAATGGCACATCCTTCCCTGAGAAAGTGAAGTCCTTCTTAACCTAGTGTCCCAAAAAATTGTTAAATCACGGTGACAGGAACCTAGATGAAGCCAACAAAGCATTTCTGAGATGTAAACTCAAGCAGCAGTCGGAGTAAATTTCATAACGCCTCAGATCAAAATTTCCTTCGTTTTGCTGCCAATCAATTTAGTTTCCAATCACATGAAGTGTCTGGCATCCACTGGGCGAACAAAGCTGAAAACAATGCTGCCGAGTCCAATGCTAAATATTACAACCAAGATAAATAGATGGTTACCATCATATTGCGAGAGTTCTATCTCGTCATTATGCCATTTTCAACGTCACATGTCTTACGATGAGGGACTCAGAAGAAAGTTCTGATGCCAGAAGAAGGCCACAGAACTTGTTCAGCAGGTGATGCATTACTTGTCTTAGCTTAATTCCGCTCAATACAATGAACATATAATGTCAGGTGTAAGGGCTGGGTGGCACTATGAGGGTGCTAAAATTATTGGGATTAATCAACTATTTCATTAAGCTGCCATCAACTCACCAATAATCACAGCATGAACATACTCCATCACTAAAGTGGTGAAACCTACGAATATCCCGCATGATGATTTCTCGACTCATGACCTTAGAAACCATTTTCATTACTGTATGGCAATCTCCACATACACGAAGATTCTTTGTTATTCTGATAGTTGTTGTTGGACCAGTATTAATAAGAGCAAAAGCAAGCGCCAACCTCTCACTGTGATCCCAAAGCATCTTCTCCTTTACTTCTTCCTCAACATCATAGAGAACTGAAAAGGTGTCAGGCTTGTAACCAGCATTCTTAAGTTGCTCATTCAAGTGCTTTAATTTGGCATAAATATCATCTGACTGTTGGTGGGACGTATCTCCAACAAAAAATTGATGAACCATCTTATTTTGCTCAACAAAACTGTAACCAGGTGGTTTCCTCAATCTCTTTCTTCTTACCAGTGCCCTCACTTTTTCAACATCATTCCATCGTCTCTCAGCAGCATATATGTTGGAAAGGCAAACATAACTGCTTACTCCTTCTGGATTCATTTCAAAAAGCTTCTGAGCTGAGATTTCAGCTAACTTCACATTGTGGTATAATCTGCAAGCAGACAGGAGTGAATTCCATATATCATAATTAGGTTTCACTTTCATATCATTTATAATTGTGTATGCTTCATCTAAGCTCCCTGATCTCCCCAGAAGATCCACCAAACAAGCATAATGAGCTGCTTCAGGCTCTACATTGTACTCTCGCATCACTTTGTAGAAAATTTCTTTACCTTCATCCACTAATCCAGAATGACTACATGCTGATAAAACTGAAGTAAACATGCCTTCATCTGGAATAATGCTTTTTCCTAGCATTTCATAAAAAATGGAGATGGCCTCTTTTCCCCTACCATGAATCCCATATCCTGTAACCATAACAGTCCAAGAAGCCAAATTTCTTTCAGGCATCTCATCAAAAGCACGATGTGCACTAGGCAAACTTCCACATTTAGTGTACATGTCAATAAGAGCAGTACTGACTGCAGTATTTGCACCAAAACCCTTTTTAACAATATATGAGTGAACAGATGAGCCCAATAGCAATGCTGAGATTTGATTACAAGCACCAAGCATAGAAATAATAGTTGCTTCGTCAGGAACTTCATCTTCCGTGATCATTTGACAGAAAAGTTCAAGGGTTTCAAAAGCATCTCCATGCCGTTCATAACCTGAAATCAAAGAATTCCATGATACAGTATCCTTCATTTTTAATTCTTCAAATAATTTCCTTGCATCAGATATTGAACCACAATTGCAGTACATGTCAATTAGGGAATTCGTTAGAAACTTGTTGCATGGCATCCCACTATTTCGAACAACACGACCATGAATAGCCTGTCCCACTTTTAAATTCATAAGATCACCACAAGCACAAAGGATAGCAAGCAAAGTTGTCTCATCTCCAAGAAATCCAGCATTTTTCATGTGATCAAACATTGAAAAAGCATCTCTTGCTTTTCCATTTTTCACATAACCCGATATCATAGTATTCCAAGATGTTAAATCCCTTACAGGCATATCATCAAACAGCATTCTCGCTGTCGCCATATACCCAAATTTGGAATACATTGAAAGCAGAGAATTGCCCACATAAATATCGGATGCCAACCCAGCAACCAACACCAAAGCGTGAACTTTTCTGCCAATTTCATTGAGCAATAGACCACCACACGCCTTGAGAACATATGGATAGGTAAAATTATCTGGCTTTCGTCCAGTACTGAACATTTCCCGATACATAAGAAGAGACCTCAAGGCATTCCCGTTACAAGAATAACCTCTAATCATGAAATTCCATAAAAAAGAACTCTTCAAGACAATTTGATCGAATATTACCTGAGCTTCAGCCATTCGACCGCAACAAGCGTAGCAGGCAGCGAGCTTGGTATTAAGATAGGTGTTGTGCACCAGAGTACCGCAAGTGATCATGTGGGCATGAAGTTGCAGGCACTTTGCGTAGGATTTGGTATTGGTGAGTGACTGCAACATGGTTCCGCATTGTAAAGAGGTGAGTGAGCGGAAAAGACCTTGTTCCGCCAAGTGAGTGACGGTGGTATATGAAGATTTGGGGAGAAGGATTTTATTGCCACACCGTTTGAGTATGAGAGTGAAGGTGCCATTCATGAAGGATAAGCACAGCGCCAGCGCAGTGACAGAAGATATTATTATTAATAGAGCGGAAGACGGTGGTGACCGGAGAATTCAGTTGCATATATTGAGCCCCCGGGTAAAGAAAAACGGAAGAGGAAAAAATTAATGAAGGCGCGGGGGTAACAAGATGTTTGGAGATGCGGGGTATCGATCCCCGTACCTCTCGCATGCTAAGCGAGCGCTCTACCATCTGAGCTACATCCCCATGATGGTAAATCAGCATTACATATGTACAAACAGTCAGCAAGGTGCTTTTGGCACAATTAAATTTCTAGCTCCACGTTGATTATGGTGGGAGTGGAAATGGTCGAAAATTTACATGCCCTTTGTCAACTTTTTACCAGCCATATATTCCTTGGGAACGGGGGTGGAGATAAGTTTAGCAGGGGCGACAGGCTTCTTTTCCTAACTTTAAACTTTTTTTTAATAAATGCAAGGATTATATACTTTTCACCCATAAGTTAACACCCTCAAAGTACTAGATAAAATTATTATTTTAATTTTATAATTATCTTTTATATATATATATATATATATAATTTAACTATTTCAATAGTTTGAAGATATAGTTATTTTAAGATTTACTTATTTTTAATAAGACGATGTTATAATTACTCGTAAAACATTAATATCATTTAATTTTGCTTTCACTTTATATTTAATGGAATAAATTATGAGGATTATTATAAACAAACTTTGTCAAGCATTACAAAAAAAAATTCAAGATATATTAAATGTTGTGTGCTTGATATCTCGCATAAAATCACTTATCTAAAAGTTAAAAGATTATGATTAAGATATGTTCTTTTAAAAAAATTACCTTTTTATGTAATAACTGAGCTATTAAAATTTAATATGTGACATAAAGAACTTGTGAAAACTGAATATCATTGCTGTTTTAATATATTTATTTACTATAATTATCAATTAAAAGAATTAAATAATAAATTTAGTAAGGAAGTAATTAAATTTTTTTAGACTAGATAAAACTTCAGATCTCAAGAATGGAGAATGCATTTAAATTATTTAATAATGCTTGTGGAGAATATGAAATCTTTACTAATTTAATGATAATTTATATTAAGAAGTAAAATGCTAAAAATTTTATTATAAACATGATAATTAATTATTCTTATGTCATGAAAAATTGATAAACAAAACTTAAAAAATGTATATATTTATTTTTATTGTATATATATAATTGAATATGAATGTATACATTGAAATATTTATATTATATTAATGATATATATAAATTTACGTTTTTTTCAATTATCATGTATATTTTGTCATATCAACCTCGCTACTAAATTTTTTTTAACTCCATCCATTCAAGTGGTGATTGATGCTATCAACATCCGCTTCAGAGAACGTTTTAAATTACAGGGTAACAATGTTCAATCACCGTCAACGATTCATTCTCAGCGAGTGGGAATATTATGAAGACATGAAAATGCATACATGTTAAATATATAACATATATTTTTGAATTCCTGCAATGAGCATTGCACGTCTTGACGAAACATTGGAATTTTGTACATGCAAATATAATACGGCACTCTTTTCTTTAACCTTAAAATACAGTTAAACTCTTGGCGTTTAATCCGAAAATTCTTTAGCTGCAGAATAATCCCCCGTGTAGCTCAAGGCCATCATTTTTTTACAAAAAATATCAATAAAGACCTCTTAATTATAATTAAATGAAATAAGAAAATGAATAATATTTCTTAAATGGTAATTTTGATATTAATTTAAACGACAGATAATTTTTTTTTTATTAAAAAGTTAATATTAAATTAAGACCCTTGAACTACAATAATGTTTTAAAAATTTTGAATATTTAATTTAAAATAAATCTAATCAAAAGATCTTTATTGATATATTTTTTTTTATGTATTCTCTCGAATTCAACATCTACCTAGGTTGGGGGTGGGGACAAATTTTATTCACTACTAATCTTGAAAAAAATTAGAATGACTCGCACTGCAAGTCCTAAGAAGATAGAAAATTACACTATGAGTCTAATAAATTTTGATAATGCATTGCAAGTTCAAAAATTCTCGTTGCAATTTTTTTTGAGAGTAAGAATATAATTTTATCTTTGTGTGATTTGAAAATTCAAGACCTACACGAAATTCCCATCCACAAAGTACAACACAATATTCATGAATTTTTAATATAATATTCACATGTATTTAGTTGATCTGTAAGTTAATTAAAATATACAACTCATATAGAGCATGCCCAATATAATATTCATGAGTGTACAATACAATATTTATGAATTTTCAACACAATATCTATGCGTATCCAATTGATCAGTAGATTTAATAAAATGTACAAGCTACACAAAATATTTATGAATACACAGCACAATATACATATATTTTTAACTGAATGTCCATGTGTATCAAGTTGATCAGTAGGTTTAATAAAATGTACAACTTAAATAGATAATGTATAACACAATGTCCATGGATGCACAATATGATATTTATGAATTCTCAATATAATATTCATGCGTGTTCAATTGATCTGTAAGTTAATTAAAAATAATCATACAGAGCATGTACAACATAATGTTTATAAGCGTACAACATGATATTCATGAATTCTCAACACAATGTTCACGTATATTCAATTGATTAGTGCATTTAATAAAATATATAAGTCATGCAGATAATGTACAACACAATATTTATGATACACAGTATAATGTTCGTAAATTTTCAATTGAATGTCCATATGTATCAAGTTGGTTATTCTACCACTTTCAATTTCTCTCTTTTTTTTATTAAAAGTAAAATTATATTCTATATTTAAAAAAATTGCAACAAGGGTCATCAGGCTTGCAGTGCATTATCATAGTGTCTCAATCTTGTAGTGCAAGTTTTTTCTTTTTTTAGGGCCTGTATTGTGATTCTCCCAAAAGAAAATCATGCTGACTCTACCCGAACCGCCACATTGAATATTATTCTAATCTAGGCATTCAAAATAAGATACTGAAAATATAACATTTTAATGTGAATGAAGCTTTTCATATCTAATAAATTAAAATTTGGAATGATGAAAAGGTTAATATTGCTGCCGTTGTTACTGTTATTTGAGGAGCGCTTCACAGATGACTACGAGACCTCGTTCGCTGTTCGCAGAAGCTGTGGCAGGGTTTATTGAGATTAGTTAATGGTCACCGTCCTTTCGGTCAGCTAACAAGCATGCTTAAAATATGCATTTTATTCCTACTCCTCCATCAATCTTGAAAACTTTCTGTCACAAAAACTGCCATTTACAATATGGCACATATACTTATTGATAATTCTCCTGCTGCCTCTAAATACAATTATACAACTGCACGAGATGTGATCAATTTTTACATATATATAATCCTTTCAATTATGTCTTGCAGTCAATTGTATATGTGAGAGAGAGAGAGAGAAACTGAACAAATTAAATTTTTGCAATAAAATAATATAATAGTGCATGCAATTTATAATTAATCATATTGTTTTCAAACTAAAAAGGAATTAACATAATTAATTGAGAAAAGAAAGTTTACGCACCCCACAAAAAAACACTCATTGTTATTTTTCAATGTAAGATGGTTATAGGCCAAAAGGATTAAAATTTATAACAGTAAAGGCAAGGAAGTAAAACCAAAATAATATTGGGGAAGCATCGTAAAAACTAAAAAATCTTCAAATACGAAGGACTGGAACCCAAATAAATAATAAATTAATAACAATAACAACAATCAAGACATTATGGGTGTCCCACATTGTTCTCCTCACGCCTCACCGCGTCTCTGTTTTTCTCTCTCCTCGGGCGCACCAAAGGACAAGAAACTCTGGCATGAACAAATTCCCTCCGTTGCAGGAGAATATCTTGCACTCGAAACCGCAGGAAAAAAATTTGCTGGATCCATTTCGAACGTTTCAGCAAAGTTTCTGGCTGTGGTTCGAGTACTCGATATCCTCCATTTGCATTGATTCATTTCTGCGCTCAGGCGCATGTTCATTTCATTGCTTCCTTAATTCGCCGGACGCCTAGCTTGCATTATCAACATATACCAGAGAAGACGTTAATCCTCTGATCTGTCAAATTTGTAGATACATTCTGTTTCCTTGCGATTATTATTGCGTTTCAACCTGGTTCTGAGTTTCTAATTAAGGACCCAGAGGCGTTCCCCTGCAGGTTTCGTGAGGCTTTCAAAGGTTCGAACAAAATCCAGCAACAAGGTGTGTGTTTGAATCTGGCGTGACATTTAAGACCTGAAGGGTATTGGGCAGGGAGGAGGGGCGTTTTCATTTCTAGAGAGGTGGGAGAATTTTGAAATTCAATGGGATGAAAAGGAATGGACATGACCAGATCCAGTTATGCAGTTATTTATGTGATTCTTCTTTGTGCGTTGGCTAAAGGCGGCTCCGAAGGTAAGAGGTGGAATCTGCACGAGATTCTCAAAGAAGAATGTCGTCTGTCGTCGTCACTTCTTGAAGACAGAAACAAGGTACGCTTGCATGCATGTTTCAAAATCGATTCTTTTCTTGATTCATTTCCACACCGTTTCCTTGAAATTTCGATCTGAGCCTTTTTTTTCCCTCTTCGTGATTGTGATGAGAAATTCTTATTTCGATCTAAATAAATGGACGACATGTGTCTTTGAGATGAAAAATCGTTGTTCTTCTGCTAATAACACCATGCCCAGCATTGTGCATGGTTGTGAATGTAGTTCTGAACTTTTTGGTAGTGATAGATACAGCTTTCTTCGTCTTATTGGACATTATTTGTTATTCTTGTTATACTTATATGATGCATGCCTGCGTACACATATGGAATTTGTACGATCTATGGAGAATGATCTGTTTGAAATTTGGAGTACTGCTAGCCTGCTATTATTTTGCGGGGCATGTACAAGGTTGTAATTTTGATACATCCATGTGCTGTATATTGGAGGCCTGAGGTTAGGTATCAGTATTTAGGCTACTTATTTGTTAACAAACTGATAAATGAAGTGGTCCAAAGGCTGATCCAGTTTATAATCATTCCATTTATTTC